ATAAGCCTGTATCGTGTAATTCAGAAATGAGAATTCGATTTTTTTTTTATTTAATATTAAGTTATATATATATATATATATATATATATATATATATATATATATATATATATATATATATATATATATATATATATATATATACTTGTACAAAGTTTTATCGTGCAACTAGCGGCTCGTCCCGGCGTCGCACGGGTGGACATTTTTACATTTTAAAAAGTGGCCATTAAGGCTGTACACGCGACGGAAGTTTAAAAATGGAGTACCTTCTCCCGTTTTTCAACATTTCCCTTCACTGCTCTGCTCCTATTGATTGTAGCGTAATAAAACTGCTACTATAACCTGCCTAGGAGTATGAAAAATAATTGTACCAAGTTTCGTTAAAATCCGTCGAGTAGTTTTTGTTTCTATAACAAACATACAGACAGACAGACAAAAATTTAACTGATTGCATTTTTGGCATCAGTATCGATCACTAATCACCCCCTGATAGTTATTTTGGAAATATATTTCATGTACTGAATTGACTTCTCTACAAATTTATTATATTTTAAGTATAGATTATTTAGGAAGACTTTGTTTACTCTCTTCTAATGTTCTGGACAAACTGATTGTTGGAGGACAAAATAAAAAAAAGTTACCTAATTATATACTATACCTACTAATTTTGTAAATATTCAAGTCTTTATAATAGAATACAATTTTAAATAATGAAAACAACAATTATGTAATACTTCAGCACAGAATGAAAATTTCATTTTTGTGTCATCTGTTTTGCCATTCCCGCAGTTGTTTTTTTTTTTTTTCAATTCTCTTTGACGGCACTCTTTTGCCTACTGCATAATTAACCTTTGACATAGATTGACGTAAATGTTTAAAATGTTCAAGAAGCAAACGTATATTCCGTTTCATGGTCGTAACTTGGTGAGGTTGACTCGAGTCGTTGACGAAAACCAATGTATGTCTTGTACTATCTAAAATTATAATTTTATCATTTTGAACACAGGCTTGCCTTTTTATAATGGTACAAATAGTATTTTTGAGTTTTGTGGCAATGTATTTATTGTTTATAATGTTTATCTTGTGGTATAGACATTTTAATTATCCGGTCAGGGGGAAAGGGATTGTTAGTAATGGAGACTGAGAATCCTATTGCTAGCAATATACCCAACCAGGTCGACCTCCTCGCGGTTCCCCCTGGAAACTATCATGGTTAATTCCTGATGAATTCATCATGATGGGCTAACTGGCCTGTTTTCATTCTCATCTATCACCCTTCACTGGTGCTCCGCCAGCGTATCCCGTTAGCGCAGGCCATACCATTTTCACCCATCAAAAAAAAAAAAAAATTATCCGGTCATCAATTTTGAGTAAGTTAATGATTATATTATCATTAATGTCAAAAACTATGTAAGAGACAGACAAGTTCCTTGGCACTTTATACACAAATAAGCTCGGTACATTACCACCTATATGGATTCCAAGTTATTTCTGAAAAACAGCCAGAAAAGTAAATGGTAATCTAGAGAAACTTATTTATCCTATCATTGTCGTTAATTGCCCACTGCTGAACATAAATCTTTCCCATAAGGGGAGTTTTGCGTAGTTGCCACGTTTGGCAACCGAAGTTAGGCTTATAGAGATGTTTTAAGAGGGACGCTGCTGCCTATCCCTCTACCATTAAGTTCTCTTAGTCGCCTCTTATGACACCCACAGGAAAGGATGGAGTGGTCTATTTTATGCTGTTGTCATACAAACAATGGAAACTTATTGTTCTTGGTAAAATAAATGGTTAAAACTATCAGGGTCGTTACCCGATACCTAGGTCAGACCAACTATGAAACAGCCCTTTCATTAGTGTATTTGATGATTTTAAGGTCACCAGAGACAGGAATAAATGGGAAAGTGTCATATAGGTACGTGAAGTTGATATCTGTTGTAGGTCACGACCATTTGTTTTTAATATGTTAAAATGTAATAGGGTCTCTGCCCGTGCTATTGGTATACCCTGGCGGGGCACCAACACAATTTTGAATTATTGTAATAATTATCTATTACTCAGTGAGCTATGGAAAGGGCAATGCTTGGTGTTTCTTTGCGTAACAGAATCCGAAATGAGGATATCCGCAAAAGGACGAATGTCACCGACATAGCCCGAAGGATAAGGAAGCTGAAGTGGCAATGGACTGGTCATATAGCTAGAAGAACGGACAACCGATGTGGAAGAAAGATTCTTGAGTGGCGATATCGTATAGGCAAACGCAATGTAAGATTATCCTCCACTAGATGGAGTGTGCCCTCAAATGTATTGCAGGGAGTCAGTGGATGCAGGTGGCTCAGGATCGATCTTTATGGCAGTCTATGGGGGAGGCCTATGTTCAGCAGTGGACGAATAATGCCTGAGATGATCATCATGATGATTATTTATAAGCTTTTAAACTGCTATTACTTTATAAATTTTGTGCTATTCCATTCGCGAGATTTCATATGGATTTTGACAATGTTCAAGCAACCGTAACTGGCAGAGCGTACAAACATTTAAAATTGTAAGCAATCCTCTATCGTAGATATTGCAGAGGTATTCAAAGGCCCTGTCACAAACATAACCCCTTTGTACGTAGGTATTATTTCAAACAGTCTGGTATCAGCTTTACTCAGTATTGCCAGATATTGTTTTAGATTTCTACAAAAATATTTAATTTTTTTCTCTAAACAGGCATGATTTCCTTTACTTTTACCCGATTACAAATATATGTGGATATTTAGTATTATATATTTTCATATGTCTTTTATTAACTTCTTTGGTATATTATATGGATCTATATAAAACTATTTATCAAACCTATCAAAGAATTAACCAAATTTCTCTATCCCAATTTTATTATTCTACAACAATATCATTTCTCTAAAATTTCGCGAACGTAAAATTTATACCCAAAATAGCGGAAAAAGTACCTAATCTAGCAACACTGACTTTATCAGGACTAAACTCTACACAACTGTAGGTAAACAATAACCAATATACATACGAGTATCTATCTAAAACTTAGTTACATCTGTCTCCACATAAATTGACATCGATGCATCAATTGAGTAGATTAAATTTTGATAGAAACATTGAGAGTTGTCTCTTAAATTACAACACTATGTAATACAAATAAATTTAAATTACATTACTGTAATTATTGTATCAAAGATATATGATTTTCTATTTTAGAACTCAATTTATTTATTTAACTCTTTATTGCACCATAAATAAAAATATACAATGACAAGTGAAATATACAATCATATCGTAGACTGTATCACATTAAATTAACTTATTTAATTTTGATAGCAACTAGAATGTTGAACTTGTGATTTATGTGACTATTGTACCAATTTCCACTAATATAATAAATGCGAAAGTTTGTAAGGATGTAAGGATGAATGGATGGTGATTATCACACAAAAACTATAGAATGGACCCTAGTTTAGCACATAGGATACATTATGTGCCGTTACCATAACGTCCCGGCATAGAATAAACCACCCCTTCATTTTTCGTGGGTGTCGTAAGATGCGATTAAAAGAGGGCAAGGGATGGTTAGCAGCGGTCCTCTTAAAACATCTACAAAGCCTAACTGCGGTTGCCAATCTACCTGCCAAGCGTGGCGATTACTGGCGCAAACTCCCCAAGGGGTAGGTTTATGTTCAGCAGTGGACAGTTTAAGTCTAATATGATGATGATGATATATTTTGTATTGATATTTTGTTGGAGATTTCATGGTTGGAGATTGGACATCATGATAAATACATTTGAAAATCCCTTATGTAGTAATGATTCTATTTTAATAATGAAATTACTGTTACGTTAATAATTTTAATATCTTCATGCTATTAAAAAATTCGTTATCTTTTTGTTACTATGAAATGATTACACCCATTTGTCCTTTCATCTGCCATTAACTGAAATATTATGATTAATAATTTAATAAAACTAAAATATTCTTCATTAGTATTATTGGATTCAAATTACAATTTGACTATAATTTATTTACTTGAATTTTGTCTATTTATAATTAAGGTAAAAGCACTATTAACTTAAATCAGTATAAATAAAGTATTAGGTAAAGTAAGTATATAAGTTATTTTTAAATAATCTATAATAATAAATGCTGAGTGGCCTCGACGTACAATAGGCCACCCCGTCCATTTCCGAGGGTGTCGTAAGAGAATTAAAAACATCTCTGATGGCAAAAGAGGGTTTTGCCGGTATTTGTCACGCTTGGCAGGCGGACTGACAACCGCAGTTAGGCTTTGGAGATGTTTTAAGAGGGACGCTGCTGCCTATCCCTCGTCCTCCCTTAGTCGCCTCTAACGACACCCACGGGAAACGAAGGGGTGGCCTATTCTATGCCGGGATCACACGGGAAACATAATGCGTAAAAAAATAAGCAACTACTACATATTAAAGTATTAAAATATAAAAAAAGGTATATTTTTTCTTGAACATTCCCATATCGTATTTTTTAGGAAATATTGCTGTAGATTTTTTTTATACATCTTAGAATGGCAAACAAGCTGACGGCCCACCTGATTGAAAGTGGTAACCGTCGCCTATAGACATGAGCAGCATCATGGACATAATAGAGTATCTGTTTCGCTCATGACCTTGACCATGACCTTCAAACCGAAACACAGCCAAGCCAGCGCTTCAGGGTGGGATATAGCGTGAATTTACAGGGTACAGAGGAATAACACCTGAGTCCTCAGGAATGGCAACGCATGGGGGGTATCATGGGCGAAACAGTATACTCTGTTATGTCCATGGTACTGCTCATGTCTACAGGCGACGGTTACCACTTTCCATCAGGTGGACCATCAGCTTGTTTGCCACTCTAAGTTGTATAAAAAAAAAACCCTTTAAACCGAAACACATATTATAGTTATTTGTTTCATAATTTTGTTTTTAGTATCGGGAAAATAGCGAAATAAATACAAAACGGTGCCGAGCTCCCGGTCTAACTTATCTAACGGTTATTAAGTATGACAGAACTTGACTAAATGCATGTGGGTAATTTATATACGACATTCAAATGACGCGAGAATAAATAGGGACACGGAGACATTTGGCGCCCTCATTAATAGATACATTTCCCCCGTGTTAGTATTGCGAATATAAACAATGTTTTATATATTGTTAATATTTTTTGGCTTGGTTCACACGAGTTTTGCTTTGGGTAAGTTACGAACATTATCCTAATACCAGTTAGACGTGGGGGAAGGATTGTAAGTTATACGTAGTACCATTCCTATTGCGAGCAATATACCCAGGCAGTTTGACCTCCACGTGGTCTCGCCTGTTAACCATCGTGCTGAATTCCACGTGTATTAATCACGATGGGCTAACTGATCTGCTGTTTTATTCTTACCTATTATCCCTTATTGGTGCTCCACCACCGTATACCGTTAGTGCAGGTGGGCTTATCATTCCATTATCATCTATTAAAAAAATACCAGTTAGGTCCCTCGTATAATAAATAGTGTTACTCAAATTATAAGTAAATTTTTAAATATGTTCGCGTAAAAAATCGTTAATGTTTAACGTTAACGATATTTAATGTCATATTGTCATAACTAATTAATATATTTATTACAATACCGTTTAAGCACGGATTTTTCGCTATATACTTAAATTCGTTTCAAAATTTTAGTCCGTAGTAATAAATTGTTAATGTTAAATGAAAGTTAATGTCATTTTATTACAATTAATCGATTTAATAATTTGATTCACGGGTTTTTCGTTATGTACCTAAATTCATATAAAAATTTTAGTCAGTTTTTAATAAAAAATAAGAAAAACTGGTTAATGTTAAATGAATGTTATTAAATAATATCATGGTATTAAAATTAATCGATTAAGTAATTCGATTACATTATTCGTTCCCATGCCCATTGTACAGTAATAGTTTAAATTGAATTGTTGCTAGTCGATTCAATCAACGATTAAAAATCTACGATTATACAGCGTCGCGAGTTCTAGAAGTCGTTAGATTGTCTGTCATTTCCTGGATACACGCTTATTACATATTGTGGTTTACACTTGTCATAAAGGTTTCTGTAGTATCAATGATAATTGCATAGTAATGCTTGTGTTATTATGCAATTATTGTTGATCGACATTACTAATTAAATGAAGTCTTACGAATTAAAAATATTTGTAAATTATTATTTTACATTTTTGAAATGCATAGCATGGTAGTTCGTTTCATTTCATACACTAAGAGGTTTTATTAATTTTAGTAATATGGGCGTAATAATGTTTACGGTTTACATTACAGTTCTAAGTTTAAACATTTCTTTATCGATTACATAGTAACTATTTTAGTTTAGTTTACCAGAGGCAGAGTTTGTACAAAAGTCGTTTACTTGGGCACCTCTGTCCCGTTCGTGTTTATACCGTGAAGTAGTTGTGTTTGCATGGCTGTTTCGGTTTGAAGGGTGAGATATGGCCTTATTTATATATATAAATTCACGCCATATTCCACCCTTCAAACCGAAACACAGTCATGCAAACACAACTGCTTCACGGTTGAAACACGAATGTGACAGAGGTACCCAAGCAATCGACTTTTGTACAAAGTCTCCCTCTGGTAAAATATACGTGCTTACTTGGTAAGTTACAAATTGCACAGGAGGTCTCACTTTGAAGTGAATGATCCTTAACTTTGAGGTCTTATTTAACATTATAATGTGCATTGCTAAGTTATTACGGACACTTTGTTTATGACAACTTATGCTTGTTTACCACCTCAGTGGTATAAAAAAAAAACTTTAGGTGATTACAACAATATGAGTATTCCGATAATGTACGTGCATACAATTTAATTCGTACTTTTAGTTAATTTTGATTGACAACCTTAGACTTAACAACTTAGTGTCTACTTACTAGTATTATAAATTTGAAAGTAAATTTGATTGTTAGTTACCTTTTTGCGCCTTTTTTTTAATGGGTACTAAAGAAATGGTAACCCCGTCTGCGCTATTGGTATACGCTGGCAGGGCACTAGTGAGGGATGATAGGTGACAATGCAAGCAGATCAATTAGCCCATCGTAATAAAATCCGCTAGATTTTTTTTTACAACACAGGGGGCAAACGAGCATGCGGCTCACCTGGTGGTAAGTAACTACCGCCGCCCATGATCACCCGCACCATGACTGTTTGCCACGGGGAACTGCGTGGAGGTCGACCTGATACGGTGTATTGCTAACAACGAGACAGTTAGACCTCATTACTAACAATTCCCTTTTCCAATTTTTGCGCCTTATTACTACGTGCAAGTACTATTTGGTTTGGACAAGAAGATATATATACTTTTTATCAATCATTCCGGTCTTGCAGATGAAGCTGTGGGTAAAAACTTAATAGCTAGTATTTACGAGTTGACTGTACTTAGTTGAATTACATAAAACGGTCAGACCAATATAAACAAAAGTAGAACTACAAATGTTTGCGTTGTTCGAAATTCGAACAAGCACGAACGGAATACAGTTAGATAGATACAATGGCATTTAAAAAAAGTAAATACTTAATTTTTTCTATTTTATGCCCCTTTAGACAAAGTACAAACGAGTCTATTGATAGAATCGTTATCGTAATCGAGGCTATGATGTAGAATGAGATGGCGACGTGCGCAGTGTTGTTTTTAAGGGTTCCGTACTTCCAAAGGGAAAAACCCTTATAGGATCACTTTGTTGTTTGCCGTCGTCCTGTCCGTCTGTCTGTCAAGAACCTTTATCTTAGGAACGCCTGGTGGTATCAAACCGTGTGGTCCCGTCATAGAATAGGCTATCCTTTCCTTTCCTGTGGGTATCGTAAGAGGCGAGTGAGGAAACTAAATAGTCGAAAGCAGCGTTCTTCTTAAAACATTACCAAAATCTAACTGCAGTTACCAATTCGCCTGCCTTCGTTGTAACTATTGGCAAAAGTCCCCCAGAGGGAGCTTTATATCCACCAGTAATAATAATGATAATAGTAAATTATTTTCAGGAGATTTAATACCATCAGAGAAAGTACCAATATCTGATGACGATCGAAAAGATGTATCAAAAAACCCAGAGATAAACTACGAAAAGATAGTGGGCGGTGTTGAGACAGATATAGAGAAACGCCCATATCAGGTGGCTCTGATATTGGACAACAAATACTTCTGTGGTGGATTTATCATAAGTGAGAATTATGTTTTGACTGCGGCACATTGCGCTGAAGGGTATGTTATATTTGATTGTATTATTAACTCTTTTATAGATAGATACTCTTTATTGTTTCATCCAAAAGATTACAATAATAAACTTACTATAGATACAAAGAATTACAAGAAAAAATCACAGTGAGAAAACAATGGGCGACCTCATCGCTAAGAGCGATTTGTTCCAGGGAATCTTTGGATGGAGAGGAGTAGTTATAAACAGTTATATCTTTAGAATAAGGTACAACATTGTTGACATTTTCATGTTATGCACAACAATTCTAAAAATAAATAAAAATAATAAAAAGAGTTCGTGTTTCTCCATTTTAGTTTCTCAGTTTTGTCACGACGGGTAGGTATAGACTATAAATTTAATTTAGGTGCTGTGTTTATTGAATTTGCAAATTTGTTTTGCTGCCGTTTTATCACGTTGACTTTTATATTTATAACGCCATCTATTATTACGGTACTACAAACTGTAATAAATATATCACTGCTAGGTGGCGCTTTATAAAGAAATGTCCCCAGAACAAAACTAAGATCCAATAAATACATATGGAGAACTGTAATGTAAGAAACTTTATATTCATTTTCTTATAAATATGGTCTTTATTGAGAGACTAAAGGCAGAAATAAAAAATAAAAAAAAAAAAGAAATATTATTAAAAGCAGATTATTTACGTCATCCGACTTTCTATTTTAATAAAAGCTGTAGAATCTAATATAATTAAAATATGATTAACTATATTCATAAAATAATTTCAGAATCTCTCCAGAAAACGTGACAATGCGCGTCGGTAGTTCATGGCGAAGGAATGGCACTATAGTTCCCATATCAGAGGTGTGGACACATCCGCAGTACGGACAACCTACGTTCGATAAAGACGTCGCTGTGCTCAAGACAGCTTCTCCCATGGAGTTCAATGACTATGTTCAACCAGTAGCTTTGCCTCCTTTAGGCCGACCTATGGTGGGCGGAACTGATATTGAAGTCAGCGGTTGGGGGCGGACTCAGGTTTGTTTTTCACAAGATTAGCAGTGAAACTCGTAATCTTGTTAGTTTTCTTTATTCAGTTAAAAGTAAAAAATCATTACACACTTTCGAATTTATTATATTATTAGTATTTACCTTATAAGGCAAGCTGTAACTATAGACTTCGACGTTGGTTAAGTGGTTTCTCATAGAGTTTTATTTCTTTTTAGGGTTCCGTACCTCTTAAGGAAAAAACGGAACCCTTATAGTATCACTTCGTTGTTCGTCTGTCCGTCCGTCCGTCCCTTTATCTGTCAAGACCCTTCTTCTTAAGAATACCTAAATGTATCAAGTTGAAATTAATATCATATACTCAGGTCTGCAATCTCTTAAAGCAGTGAAAAAATCAAGTTTCTAAGTCGACGTAATCAACCGCCTTTTTTATTTCATTTAGATATATTGTATATTTTGACATTCGCAAAGGTAAACAAAACAAGTTATTTCCCGTTGATCTAGAATCATAAAATTTGGCAAGATGCAATGTCATGTAACACAAGGAAAGGAAAAATTCCGAGCTCCTAAATTTGTAGTTATTTAAAAAAAAGTTTTTAAACTTAATAAATTTGTACGGAACCCTCATTACGCGAGTCCGACACACACTTGACCGGTTTTTACTAGTGTCATTGTTTGTTCTTTTTATCGTACCCAACATCCTGGGGCTAGACGTGCTAACATTATTTTTATTCCGTCATCAGAATAAATGACGGACCATTTTGGAGATTTCGAGACTTTTCCAGCATAGTCGTACTTGTTTTTTATTACCGGTACGGTCACAAGGACATCGTGGATCTATCGTTTGGTAGAAGCAAGAGAATTTTTTATTAAATTCAAACATTTTTAACTTTAAAAACTTTTCTATTTCAATTCAGTTGTATTTTTTTTATGTTTGTTACGTCATAACTCCTTCTTTTTTTATGACTGAAAATTCTTTTTTGATCTGAAAGCATAGACACTTACATATTGGCCCCATAGAGATTTTATCAAACTTGGTACAGAAGTCTATAGTAGTTAGTAGTTTTTAAATTGAAATAATTCGGTTTGAAGGGTGGAATATGGCGTGAATTTACTGGGTACAGAGGAATAACACCTGAGTCCTCAGGAATACCAACGCATGGGGGGGTATCATGGGCGAAACAGTTTACTCTGTTATGTCCATGGTACTGCTCATGTCTATAGGCGACGGTTACCATTTTCTATCAGGTGGGCCGTCAGCTTGTTTGCCATTCTAAGTTGTATAAAAAAAAAGGTTGGCAACTAATTGTTACAAAAATACGTCATTGGTTTCTTCTTCTATAAAAGTGCAATAAAAGAATTTTCTTTCCTTTCTTGCTTACGTGACAACGCAATGAGCGAGTTAACAACCAAAATTACGTGATAAGCTCGTGTAGAAAATAGAAAAACCTGTATTTTCGTTATAAAAATCCGTTGACATCCAAATTGCGCATCTATCCGTATCGATTTTCAATAACTTTCCGAGCGTAGTGCGTCGAAGACTGGTTTCTTCGTGTAAATGAGATTTCAGATTCGGTTCTCGACTCACTGGGCCAATTTAGAAGTCGGTTTCAGACTTTTCTTAAATTAACTCGTGTCTGCGTATTTTGGGATGTGTCCCTTGTATATACGTTTTTATCTGTTTTAGTGCAGGGTAAATTTTACTAATTTTATCTTATTAATATAATAAAATTGAAACTAAACGACGTTTGAATATGGGAGTTATTTAAGATAATAAAATATGAGGATCTTAATAAAAGCAATAGAAATAAATAAATAAAATCCAATTCTCCCCTCAACAGAATGTTATCGTCCTATAGTAAAGCCGTAAACGTTCACCATGATATCGACATCTTTGGTAATTCTTTAGTGCAGTTTATTAGGCTTATTAATAATATGGATTGGTAATTAGGTCCTCTCTAATTGTATAATTGTTACTTAGTATACATTGACGCTTATCTGTGAGAGCTGTATACACCTTTAATTGATGTGTTCATATGACCTTAAGCTTGGTAGTGAGGAGTGAGATGTTTTTGTTCAACTAAACTTAGATTTAAGCATTTTTAATAGTAGTTTTTCACTTTTTACTTACTTATATCATTGTACATTGTCTGCTTAATTGTTGTGAGCATATTGTTGGTGTGTCTTTTATAAATAAATAAATAAATAAACCTGTCTGCCTGTCTGCCTGTCTGTATGTTTGTTCCGGCGTCATGCGAAACTTAAAAATAGGTATATATTTTATCGTGATATACTAACTAGAATTGGTCTACGAGTATTTCTAGATTTTAGAATTACACCAAAGAATCACATTGTGATGCCCATGGCATCCCTCACGTGTTGTCTTACCTGAGAACTATGGTGTTTTGCTTCGTATGTTCTATTTTTAATTCAAACTGAAACACAGCCATTCAAGGATAGCTGCTTCACAGCAGAAACATGTAGGACAGAGGTATTCAAGCAGTCGGTGGGAGAGGGATTGTTAGTAATGGGGACATTAATCCCCATTAGTAGCACTACTCTGTCAGACCAACTTCTTCGCGATTCCAGTTGAAAATCATCATGATTAATTCTTGTTGAAACCATCACTATGAGCTAACTATAAGGCAAGTCGCCTTCATCCTCACCTATCATCCCTCATTGGTGCCCCGCCAGAGTATACCGATAGCACAGATGGGGTTACTATTCCCTTATCATCTATTAAGAACTCAAGCAGACGACTATTGTACCAAGTCACATTCTGGTGGAATAATGCATGTTTATTTCATTTCAGCAAGGAGCCCCTTCAATACCCGAGAGGTTGATGGAAGTGACTATTCCTGTAGTAAACTATTACCAGTGCTTCTTGTCATACTATGCTTACTTGACGAAGAATATGTTTTGTGCCGGTAACTTCTTTTTGGGAGGAAAGGGAACTTGTCAGGTACCTTTTTTTTATACAACTTAGAATGGCAAACAAGCTGACGGCCCACCTGATTGAAAGTGGTAACCGTCGCCTATTGACATGAGCAGTACCGTGTACATAACAGAGTATACTGTTACGCCCATGATACCCCCCATGCGTTGCCATTCCTGAGGACTCAGGTGTTATTCCTCTATACCCAGTAAATTCACGTCATATCCCACCCTTCAAACCGAAACACAGCCATGCAAACACTACTGCTACACGGTTGAAACACGAATGGGGCAGAGGTACCCAAGTAATTGACTTTTGTACAAAGTCTCCCTCTGGTAGACTTTGTACAAAATCTACCAGAGTACTTTGTACTGGCTAACCCACGTGTTTTAATTAATTTAATTAGCTAGTTTTAATTAGTTTAAGTAGTTTATATTCTAGCTAATAATAACTACTCATCTCTCTTAAATTCATTTCCTTCATTTATAAGTCCATCCATTTCACGTCGTATTACGAGGATGTTTTTAAAAAAAATGTCACTAAATGTTATGTGTGAAAAACAAAAATAATCATCGACGTAACATACTTCTCATTAACATTACTGAGTTGCCATAAGTCAAGGTTAGTTAATAAACAATGTTTGGAATAACAATAGTAAAGATAAATGTTAGTTCTTACTTAATATTACATAATGTGCAAGTATGTTTGTTTCTCTGTAACTTTATAGTGTCTTAACGGCTAATTCAAAATGGATAATTTTAACATAATAATTCTATACCTCTATTTGGTGCGCTCAAACTCTCACTAGCTTCAAAACATCTGTTAAATCTTACTACCTCTCCCTTTAGTACAATTTTCCTGTGCTTTCTCTTTTCATTTTCCTTTGTCATTCTCTGCTGTTGTATGTGTGTTATTAAATATGTGCATGTATATATATTCTTTACTGCACTTCAACAAAACAGCTAGTTTAACAACTTTTTTTTTTATACAACTTAGAATGGCAAGCAAGCTGACAGTCCACCTGATGGAAAGTGGTAACCGTCGCCTATAGACATGAGCAGTACCATGGACATAACAGAGTATACTGTTACGCCCATGATACCCCCTATGCGTTGCCATTCCTGAGGACTCAGATGTTATTCCTCTGTACCCAGTAAATTCACGCCATATCCCACCCTTCAAACTGAAACACAAAAGCATTTATTCAAAAAAAAAAGCAATTGAATTAAATTGAATTAAAAGCAATAAATTTGCTTACTTTGCTTTTTATCAATTAAATTTGATAAACTGCACTTCAACAAAACAACTAGTTTAACAACTTATAACTAATATTGACTTTATTTTTTATTTTTCTTGCTTGGTGGAAAAAGTGTAAAATAAATAAATGAATATATTTAAATAACCAGTAACATGGATTTCCACAAGATCTACGATCAACATCTAGTTCAGTGAAATATTTATTATTTATTTATTTCAGGGTGACTCCGGTGGAGCAGCAGTTCAAGATGGTTACTGTGTTGGCATAGTATCATTCGGTCGTGGTTGTGCGCAACCATTATCGCCAAGTGTGTTCGCCAACATCGCTCAACCCGATATAAGGAATTTCATTAAAGAACATACCGGTTTATAGAATAATTGAAACGGCAACCCTGGACGGTCTCAGATCAATTAGACTCTCGGTCTTGCCCTCAATATCCGTTTCTCTTATCTTGCAATTTTCTCAAGTCAACTGGATCTACTTTTTTATTTGAAAGTACTTGCTCATTGTAAAGTAAAGTGGTATAAAATTGTGAGACACGATTATTTCGAATGCTTATAATTTTTTATCAGATATTTAAAAATAGCTTTCGATAATTACTATTATCAATTTTATTATTATAAATGCGAATGTGAGTTTGTTTATTTGTTACTCATTCATGTCTAAACCGCTGAATCTATTGTAGTGAATTTTAGTATAGAGATAGTCGGGATCCTGGAGGTTGTTATTAGGTTACTTTTTTTTAAATTGCTTGTATTCAAATATCGGCTCATTCAAAAATATTTAATACATATACATATATATATATATATATATATATATATATATACATATATTGTTAAAATTGCAACAGTTCATTTTATGGGACACTTTAAGGGTTTAACGAGAACCTTGGGTAAGATTTTGCTATACATTGGCCGGAGACCCCAGAAGTTATTTCGTTAAGGGCCTACACAGTTGAGGGACAGTCCCCGGGGCATTTTTAACTTGGCCCCTTTATTAGATGCTTTTTATTGAAAGAGTCATGTTGTCTTTCTGTCCTTTTGTCATCGTATCATGCTTATTTTTTTATATTTAGTACGACATTTAATCACAAAAATAAAGTAAAAAAAAAAAAAAAACTAAGAGCATTAAAGTTAAAATTAAAAGTATTCCAGACAAATTTTTTATACCATAAAGGTGGTAACCAAGCATACAGCCCGTCTGATGGTAAACGGTTACTGTAGCCTATGGACGCCTGCAACACAAGGGGTTTCACGCGCGCGTTGCCGACCCTGAAGAAACTTTACTATACCCTTTTTGAAGTACCCCAATATTATATCTGGAGTGTCTCTAACGCTTTTAAATTTTATACCTGTATTTTATGCATCGTAATAAAAAGAGTTTTTTTGAAATATTTAAATTCTTTTAAAATTTAAATAAGGACATTGTACTTAATAAAGTGTGCCTCTCGTCTGCGTAGGCAGACCTCCGAGTAATTAACATACATATGTTAACTTCGGAGGTTGAATTTACTGTTAAAATTGTATTTGTAAATTTACCTATAATAATATATTTATGAATATTAAACTATGGTTTAAAAATAAACATGCGTGCTTATCTTTACATCCATTTCCATGAATCCTATTAAAATTTCTAAATCAAACTAAGTATAAAAAAAGTTTAACCTACTTAAATCAATCCTAGAAAAAGATGCTTAGCTAAGTTTGTAGGTATTATTTATTAACTCCTTTATTCATAAAAACTAAAAGCTTCTACAAGTCTATTTTAACTATAACAATGTTTTGTCTTCTTTTTTTTTTTAATCGGGAATTCAGTGTAGATACAAAAATAGAGACAAAACAGTTCAATAGCTAGAATAGGTTTATGACAGGTTTAACGTTTTTACGAATAAGGGGGTAAGAATAACACTTAGATAAGTTACTGTATTCAATGTCTCTAGATGGAGACTACTCCTGAGGATTAGGGTGATATGCCCCTTATCTTTTTTTTTACAACTTATTATGGCAAATAAGCTGACGGCTTACCTGATGGAAAGTGGTAACCGTCGCCTATAGACATGAGCAGTACCATGGACATAACAGAGTATACTGATTCGCCCATGAAATGATTGAATGTGAACAACACAGAGCTATGTAATGTAGCTTTAGGAGATCCTTGTCTCTGGCATTAATCGGTCTAGATTGATGAAGATGATACACGAAGTTACACTTTTATATGTGGGACATGATATTTCGATACCTTAGGTAATTACTTTAAAATTATTTCCCTCATAGAAATAAACTATATTCTGATTACTTATAACTTAATATTTTACAGAATAAAGCAATTTACAATAATTTATGATTATTCTATAAAATACGACTCCAATCATGTTGAAATAAGATCCACATAATCGATTGAAAAAAAAATTAAATAGTTTTTTGGTCGTACCTTCAGATGTTCTAGCTTGAGATCCAAGTGATTGGAGTGAACCTTGGCACTTAATTAATTTACAACCATTCCTCTAGACCTCAACTGATAGACTGTAGCTCACTTATAGAGTTATTCCTAATCTCTGTGCAAACAATAATTTGTTTAGATTTCAAATTAGGAAAGCAATCCTAAGCTATATAAGACGTCTATTTAAATATTGTTTAAATAGGTTCAGATCGTTGATAATCTATTTAATCTTCTTACCTCTAAGATCTACTAAGGAAAACGAATTTATTCTCAGAATTACATGCAAAGAAAAAATACTACGGCATCTGCCAGTGTCATTGATTAATTATTTATTACCTTACAAAAATAGCAGTTATTTTCATACGGTTAAATATTAATGAACCAAATTGATTAATCAGGGTATTATATATCTAATCAGATTTGAGTCTAAAGATAGGTTTATTAATTATGAACTAAAATACTTAACGAAAAGGCTGCAATGTCACAAAATTTGGTGATAAAGATCAAACAATTTTCGCTAAGAATTTTATCTCTTATTTATTATTACTTTACAAATTAAATATCAGACATTACGACTCAATAAACTTGAAATGCCTCCTACTTGAACAGTTTCAATTTAATTTTTAACTTTATCTGCGATTATGATTCCTTTTATATGCCAAAGTGTATTAAAAATATATAAAATTTCTAATAAACCCATCTTTACTGATATTATAAATTGTTAAAGTTAATTTGTTAGCATCTTAAGCATAAACCGATTACTATGAAATTTCGCTTACATGTACTATATAGGGTATATGCTACTTTTTATGTGGATTATTACATATATCCTGGTTACACAGGTGAAGTCGCAGGCAAAAGCCAGTACTTTTTCAATTACGAGTGTCATTATAAACTTATTTTTGCATTTATACCATATCAGCCGTTGACTGCCCAATGCTGAAGATAGGTTTCTCTTAAAGACTGACGTAAAAAACGGTTTTACACCATCTGTATCCACTGGCTCCTTGTAATGTATTTGAGACGATCTCAAGAACTCCATCTAGTGGGGGGGGGGGTCGTCCTATAATTCGTGTACCAGTAAGGGATCACCCTTTTAAGAAGAACCTTTCTAACCCATCGGTTAAGGGGGAAAGGGATTGTTAGTAATGCGGACTGTCAGTCTCATTGTTAGCAATATACCCTAATCAGGTCGACCTTCACGTGGTACCCCCTGGAAACCATCGTGCTGAATTCCAGATGCATTCATCACGATGAGCTAACTGACTTGCCTTTTCATTCTCTCTTTTCATCCCTCACTGGTGGCCAGCCAGCGTATACCGTTTGCGCAAACGGGGTTAACATTCCATTATCATGTAATTGAAAAAAAAAACCTAAGTTGTCGGTTCTTCAAATTATATCGGTCACTTTGGTCCTTCTGCGGATGACATTCGGATTCCATCACATGAAGAAACTCCGAGCATAGCCCTCTCCATAGCCCGCTGAGTAACTTGAACTTTTGCATACGGGTGTAGTTGTTCGGAGGAAATAAGTATAACAACTAACTTTGTCTATTTACATATATTATGTACAGAAGGTAAATATTATGTACAAAGGAATATGTAAAAAAATAATATATAGAAACGGAAGTTAGGAGTGTAAGAGGCGAGCGATCGAGATGGAGAGAATGACAGCAGAAATGAATGTAAAAAGTAAACGTCGCTGTCATGTCTGTACGACCAGTCCGAAGGAAAGAAAGAGGTGAAATATCTATGTACAATTTAATTAACCTACTTGACAGAAAAGAACATAATGATGTTGACAAGTGGCTATCAGATGAATATGTACAATATTTATTTACGGACGCCACACGGGCAACCGTGTAAGAGCTTATTAGCATTATTGCACCAAAACTAAAAAAAATGATAAAATTCATCTTATCCGTTATTTTTTATTATTCGTATATTTCTAGGGGCATCAGAGGGCCTACCATGAAATGTTTTCCGAACGAAACACAAATTTGATGTTAGAATTCCGTTTGGAAATATTAAAAATGTTAAAGTATTGTTCCTTTGGACTTTTATGATAGGATGTATGACGAACGAAATATTAAACTCCATTTATTGGTCCGATTTTGGTATAAACAAAACCACGATATAGAGTCCGAAATTTCGGAATTTCATTTCATGGTAGACCCGCAGAACTTTTTACGCATCTAGTGTTAAATTTATATGAACTGTATTTTTGCTGTATTTACGTTATTCGATATGTTTTTCCAATGTAAATTCTACACTGATTCTGATAATTCTTTTTTTAATCAACACGACTGCTTCAGTGTTGGTCCAGTGTTTATTTTATTGGGATAATGTGTATTCTTGTGGTACAGAGTCTTGGATTATGATCTTTGGGGAGGAAACTTATTTAATTAGGACGAAATTTTACAGCTGTTTGTCAAGCTCTGAAGTTGTTTTGGAGTTAAAACTTATATCGTCGGTAGAAGATTCCCTCGAGAAATCTAGATTACCTAATAAGTTTCAAAGAAATTTTTATTATTTTTAATTTTTTATTATTTACAAGCTATATTCCGCAAATTCGCCGATGTTCATTCATCATTCATATTAGTCTCAAACTGCCCATTGCTTAACATAGGGTTCCCTTATAGGAAGGGTTTTGCCAATAGTTGTCACGCATAGCCGGCGAGTTGGTAGCCACTTTAAGACTTTAGTGGTGTTTTAAGAGAGATGTTACTGCCTATCCTTTGATCATTAAGTTCCTTTAGGTCTCTTACGACAGCTAAGGGAAAGGAAGAGATGGCCCATTCTATGGCAGAGACAACACGGCACTCGTCGATGTAGCTTAGTGTAATGAATCCTAGTGGTAGGTTAATCTAGGTTATGATCTATCTACTCCCACGGCATTGTCGTTAAAGAGACTAGGAGGTATATCGTCAGGTCGTTTAGCCGGTAGGAGTCTGGTACCCACACGGTCCCTAACCTGTGTGGATCTGCAGGATGCATTTTTCCTGACGTTAAAAAAAAGGTTATGATCTATCTGTGTATCAAGATTCATTACAATTCGTCTAGCCGAAAAGCGTTATTAATAAATTAAAATTAAAATTACGGTGTACGCAGGCGTTAAATATCCCCAGAATGGCAACGCATAAGTGGTACGATGTGGCACCAATGGTGCTGTTCATGTCTACAATCGGGTACAATTTTCCGTAAATGTATATAAAATTTCACTGTATACTAAAATTTAAATAAATTATTAAAAACAAGTTGTTGTTAGGACTTCCTCGATTCTGCAATACATCGGGAATGTTTGCAGAAATGCATGTGGATTGTTTCTACACTTTTATTCGTAAACGATCAGCGTCACTGCTCTGCAGAGAGCGCGCAGCCTTAACTGCGTTCTGGCCATGTTAGAAAGTAGTCTCCTTTATGAACAATTGTGTTGCGTTGCATGTCGAAAGAACCCAACTATATTTTTTTACAACACAGGGGCAAATGAGCATGCGGCTTACTTGATGGTAAGTGACTACCACCGCTTACGATCATCCGCAACACCAGTGGCATTGCAGGTGTGCTGCGGGGCCTTTTAAAAAGGAATATGCTCTTTTCTTGAAAGTTATGATGTCGTATTAGTTCGGAAATACTGCTGCTGGAAGTTGATTCCAAAAAGTAGTAGTGCTTGGAAGAAAGTACCTTGAAAAACGCACGGTGGAAGACCGCCGCTCGTGCAGATGGTTGGGATGAAATGATTTAGTTTATGGCGGGTTGTACGGTGGTGAAAGTCAGTAACAGGCATCAATCCAAACAATTCCTCAAAGCACTCCCCATGATAAATATATTAAATTATATTTTTTTTTATACCACTGAGGTGGCAAACAAATGTAATAATTTATAAAATATAAAAAGTTGGTTCTGATAACCTTAATAAAGAATTATTTAATATCATTATTAATATGAACGTAAAAGAATGACATTCCAGAACAGTTCTGTGTCATGATGAATCGAAGAATAGCGGCAGACACGACAGCGTTTCCTGTACTTAAAGAGGCTTAATTAATTATATTTCAGACGAGACTACTTCCATAGTAGATTGCAGTATGAATAAGCAAAAAAAAAAAAATAGCTAATCACAATGCAAAATCGCGTTCTGAGTATTCCGTATTAAATTGTTATGTATACAGATGTATGGTCTTTTAGGATGAAATTGTAAAACCATATGTCTCACCTGGTCGTATACTCCCGGCGTGGAATAAACTCAAATTCAAATTATCTTTATTCAAAATTGACTAAGACTAGTTTACAAGCACTAGTCATCATACGTCATTTTTTTTAAATCTACTGCAGAGTGCTGCATGTTGTTGTCAGTTGAGAAGAGCCCGAAAGCCCACAGTTCTGTGTCTATCTTGAAGATACGGTGAAGCTGACATCCAAAAAACTTTCTGTGCTTAATAAAGCAAAGCATTACTTCACGCCGGATCAGCAATTAATGCTCTACAAATCGCAAATCCGGCCCCACATGGAGTATTGCTATCACTTATGGGCGGGAGCACCTAGACATCAGTTTGAACCCTTTGACTCAGTGCATCGACGAGCTATGACAATTGTCGATGATCCCAGGCTTGCAAGCGGTATCGAACCCTTAAGTCTTCGGAGAGATTTTGCTTCACTCTGTGTGTCTACCGCTTGTACATCGGATTGTGCTCAGAGGAATTGTTCGCCATCAACAGGGAGTTCACCCTCATATCCTACAGCCTGAATGGTCGCATACAACGCGGTTTCAGAGATGTGTTCTCCCACGAACACTCATGTTATGGAATGAGCTTCCTACCGAGGTTTTCCCAAGAGATTACAGTATGGGGTTCTTCAAAAGGGGCGTAAAAAGATTTCTTCAGGGTCGGTAACGCGCGCGTAATATTCCTGGTATTAGGGGCAGGGGTTTTTGTAATACAAATATGCTTTGGATGTCGGCTGCTTTACACCACAATAATATTCTATAGGACAGTATAACTATGAAAGTAACTGAAATAAACTAATCTGGTAGTCTCAATATTAGAATATTGTTTAATCCTGGTTTACTACTGTTTAATCCTACCCCTTCCTTTCCTGTAAGCGTCGTGAGAAGCGACTAAGGGATCTTAATGGTCGAGAAATAGGGACAGCAGCGTCCCTCTTGAAACAACCTCAAGCCTAGCTGCGGTTACCAATCCGCTTGCTAAGTGTGACAATTATTAACAAAACCTTCCAAAGGGGAGGCCTATGTTCAACAGTGGACAGTTAACGACTGTACCATCATCATCACCACCTGATTGATGTAGTAACCGTCGCCTGTAAACACGAACAGCATCATGTATATTACCAAATACACTGGTAGAGAAAAATTTTAAAATCATCTGATCTACTTCCCACAAAAATCGACTTCAATTGTAACAAAATCAGTACTGAACCGATTTTGATAAAATTTCTATAGAACAAATATAGAATCGTATCCTTTTAGAGAAAAAAAAAGAATATTTCAAATCGGTTAAAAACTGACGGAGTTATGAGGTAACAAACACAAAAAAAAAATTAGACCGAATTGTAAACTTCTTATTTTATTTATTCTATTTGAAGTCGTATATACATACACACATATATATATATATATATATATATATATATATATATATATATATATATATATATATATATATATATATATATATATATATATAGCGAAACAATACGTTGGAGGTATATAATTTTTACGTCGCGTGATGTGACAATAATTAGTAGCACGGTCGAGCGAGCCGAAGCCGCATTTTTACAACCTTGTACATCAATTATGACCAACATCCGAGTCTTTTTTTTATACTACTTAGAATGGCAAACAAGCTGACGGCCCACCTGATGGAAAGTGGTAACCGTCGCCTATAGACATGAGCAGTGCCATGGACATATCAGAGTATACTCTTTCGCCCATGATACTCCTATAAAAAAAAACAAAGAAACAAAGTCTCCCTCTGTATATATATATATATATATATATATATATATATATATCCATCCCATTGTATATATATATATATATATATATATATATATATATATATATATATATATATATATATATATATAATGGGATGGAGATGGGCTGGTTATATTCCAGTCCCGTATAAAATTGGTGAAGCGGTATTTTTCAGTCAAGGGACGGCAATATATTACAGAATAGTTTATATCCTTTTACTGCGTGTTTGCCAAATTTTAAGACGAGTATGATTAAATTAAGATTCTAGCGTCAATCTTTGCTATGTACCAAATAATTATATAGGAATTTGGGACACATTACTCTGTCTAGACGTGTCCATTTAAAGTACATATTACATACTAACCTTAAACATTTTCATATGAAATAGTGATAATTATATATGATAGATTTTTTTTTAATTGGTGATAATGGTATGGAAACCCCGCCTGTGCTATCAGTATACACTGGAGGTGCACCAGTGAGAATGACAGATGAGGATGAAAGCAGGTCAGTTAGCCCATTCTGACGAATTCAACTAGAATTAAACACGATGGTTTCCAGGGGAACCACGTGGAGGTCGACCTGATAGGGTATATTGTAGTATAGGGTATAGTGTTGTATAAGGTAAAGAAGTTAAGGGGCCGCTTGAAAATCAGCGCTATATAGGTACATCTCGCTGGAGCTGTACATATATAGCAACAGCTGAGGCGGCTCTTATTATCAGCGACATTAATTGTTCTTTTTTCTTTTTGTTGTTTTAATTTTTTATTTTCTTAATAATGGTAATAAAGGTCATCTATCTATCTATCTGTCTATCTATTGCTAGTAATGGGGCTATTTGTCTCCATTACTAATAATCCCTTTCTCCCCTGATTCCATGTGTTATCATTTCCTGCTTATGTGCCAGTATTTAGGTTGAGTACAGTATTATGCTTTTCTTTACCGTTCATCACTATCATATCTGGGATTTGTTATTTATGCAAAGTATGTTTCACATAGAAATAATAAATATTTAATAATAAAACGTACTGGTACTATACTGTTTCCACCTCTTATTATACGCACACTGCTCGCTGGTAATTAATGTTCCTTTCCACTCAAAGTTTGCTGAAAGAGAACTCTTACAGAGTTGAGTTCGCCTGTTGTATGTCTTCATTTAATATAAATTGTAACAATGTATGTATTTTTGTGTACAATAAAGTATAAATAAATAAATAAATAGTTATTAATCTTGTTTTTATCGTCACTTATTTATTTATAGAATTTAATATCTTTTATATAAATTTAGGACTCTTTTTCACAACATACTCAGTGTCAATCGACCTATAACTTGTATATTACTTATTTTCAAATACATATTATATGTATAATTATGTATTAAAAGGTGTTTGCACAAAAATATCAAAGTTATTACACAGGTATTAAATTTTGTTTTTGCATTAATATATTTGAAAATATAAATACTCGTAAGTATATGTTTATAATATCAAGATGTGTTATTTTCTTGATGTATATATTTAAAATAATGCTTGTGTTTTTTGATGTTTTTCACCAAGATTGGTTGTAGACAAATTGCTTTCTCTTTATTTAATGAAAGACATTATTTCGTCAAATTGAAACATAAGTGTACTCTGTATTAGAAATGCTGGTGACTTTAGATAAATGACTGACATTTATAATAATGTATCCACGTTGGAGACGTCATTATTTATAGAAAAGAACTTTAAGTAATTTTTTTTTCAGGGAAATATACCTATCTTTTTTTTAATAAAATTTGATATTGCAAACAACTTGTGTATAAACTTGAGGAAGAGTAGTAAACGTGGTTTATATAGTAAACTGATAGAACTATAGACACCATAGATTATATTTTTGTTTATACAACTGGAGGTGGCAAACAATCATATGCCTCACCTGATGGTGAGCAATTATGATCCCATGAACGCCTGCAATACTAAGGGCATTACACGCACGTTGCCGTCCCTGAAGGAACCTCTTTACTTATTTTTTTTAAGAACTCTAAGCTGTAGTATTTTGGAAAAATACTGTTACATTGTCGTTGTGATCCAATGATTTTATTGAAATGACAGAGTTCTTATTGACAAACAAATAGCAAAAGAGCAACTGTTTGGTGGAAGGAACATGACTGACGTAAAGATTTTTATGATTTTTGAACAACCTCTCTCGGGAAATATGCAATAATAAATTAGCTTTTTTATATAAATACTAGCTGACCCCGTAAACGTTGTTTTACCACTTATTGCGAAATATAAAAATCGCGATTAAAAGACAGGGGTTGATCGTAAAACGATGAAAATTTAAAGTTGTGTGTATTTTCTAATGCTAAATCATAATAAAAAAATATGGAAAAATTTGTTAAAAAAATAAAAAAAAAATTTTGGTGAGGGTCACCCTTATCATTGAGGGGTATGAAAAATAGATGTTCGCTGATTCTCAGACCTACCCAATATACACAATATACCTACCCAATGTACACAAAATTTCATAAAAATCGGTTAAACCGTTTCGGAGGAGTTTGGTAATAAACACTGTGACACGAGAATTCTCTATATAAGAAATAGAATTATTTATAACTTAAATTTAGAACGGAATTATACCATTATCATTATTATTTCAGCCATTATCTGTCCACTGCTGGACATAGGCTTCCCCCCATAGGTTGCCATAAGGAACGGTCCTGAACCACCTACATCCATTGACTCCCTGCAATGCATTTCAGATCGTCAATCTGTAAATAATGGTAATTTAAAAAGTTATAAATCTACAAGGAAATATATTAACTTTTAAAATAAAAAAAGATAAATATTATATGTCAGGTTTAATTACTATACTTAATTATTATAAATCTAAATTAAATTTAAAATTACACGTTATGATCATATGTAAAAAATCCACATTTACAATAAATATTTTTTACATTTATACAATTAAATCAATAAATTTATATTATTTACAAAAAAAAAATATTGTATATTAGCTTGTACCTAAATAATGTAAAATTACATTAATTTATTCTGCATTATTTACAAAAGAATCTTACAAATAACTAATACTGTGGTATCACAATTTTTCCAATATGGCAATTATTGAATATGCTACACCGGACACCATGGCTATCAGTGAGAAGATGCAGATAAGAGCATTTTTCCATACAACCCAGTAACAAGGGCCCAGGTCTTTCCCCCATCGCCACACCGTCTCAGTCACAGCTGGAAGCAGCAGACCCATGGTGGAAAGGCAGACTGCACCCACTAATTCCATGAAGAGCTCCAGTCTTGGGACCGCGCAGGCGATACCAACTGTAAATGAAATATTATTAGAGATTTTTTTATTTAAGAAAAAAAATAACGACTTGAATCCAAAGCTTGATAAACAACAATAAAAAATGTATAAAACCAACGCGTGAGTTAAACTTTACGATTACAACAGAATTATATATAAGTCCGAGTTTTAATTGAAATATTTTCAATTTAAATATATCCATAGATGATTTTTCGTATATTAAAGTAGTAGTTTGCTGTGTGGTCCCGGCATAGAATAAGCCACCCCTTCCTTTCCCGTAGATGTCGTAAGGTGCGACTAAGGGAAAGCGAGGGATGGGCAGCAGCGTTCCTCTTAAAACATCTTAGAAGCCTGACTGCCTATAAATTGTTCCTTTGGTAAGGTTTTTGCGGACTATTTATTTAATTATTTATTTAAATTTTAATTTACAGTAAACTTCTATGCACATTTAGCGGACTTAACACCGGACGGTGTTCTCTACCATTGGGCAAACCGAGAAATACGTGGGCGGTGCATTATTGAATTGAGAATAATATAAATATATAATTACACTAACATAAATATACACATAATTTATTAAATAAATAAATATATACATATAATAAACGCAGTGTAAGATGACTCCCCACTAGATGGAGTGACAACCTATAATGCAATGCAGGTAGTCAGTAGATGCAGGTGGCTCAGGGCCGTTCTTTATCAGGAGAGGCTTATGTCCAGCAGTTGACGGATAATGGCTGAAATGATGATATAATAAATAAATGTATAAAATATTACTATATTAAACAAATAACTGTAATAGAAGAGCAAATAGCAATCGATGACTCAAACGGAGTAACCAGTAAGATTAAGTTTATAGAAAAAGTGTTTTTTTTCTAAAAAAAAATAGGTGCGCAATTTATATTTTAAAGTTAGTTTTTCTATCAACTTGTTTCGTTCCTAACTATGTCGTAATTGTTATAACTAGGTCGTAATTGCTTTTTAGAAGTGCTGCTATCCCTAACTTGGACATCAAAGCGTGATTATGCTGAACTACAAGTTGATTATGGTTTTAGCATGGTAGTGAGTTAATTATAACGAGATATTTTATTGGTTGTATTTTTTTTTGGAATCCACAGATAACATAATTACGTACTGTAATGAAGTAGGTATGTAGATACTTAATTAGTTGTTATGTTTTAATTTGGTTGAAAAGTATAAAGAAATACAATAAAATTACAATACATATATGTAGTTAAATTCTAGAAATTTAAATGAAATATTGTTTTTAGAATAATTATTTTTATAAATTATGTACTTTTTTTTACGAAATTGTTTCCAGTATATACCATTTTTTTTTCTACGAAGAAACGTACGTAATAGTTTTTTACTTTTAACCAACTTCCAAAAGGTGAAGTATATTATGTCAATCGTGAATCGATTTTGTTTTAAATTTTATTAGCTGTTATATAAACAAAAAGCTAAACTATTTAAATATTTCACTGAACTAGATATTATTTTGCGAAAATTCATATCACTGGTTAATTGATTAATAATTATTTTGTTTAAATCTGCTACCATTAGTATATGTGACATTCCCAACACTCGAAGATTGATATCCACTATTACTACCAGAAGTTCCACAACCTTTCATATTAGCCATAAATCTCCGACCGCCATTTAGTCCACACACGGTTTGCGACACGTGTTTCATCTCTAAATGTATCTTTAGGCAAATTAAAATTTATGTAGTAACGTAACATCTAGTAGACCTCTCAGAGGTCATTTAAGTATCGAGAGGTGAATAAAGTAACAGAAAGTACAATATTTACTTTCCTAAACTTGGTCTAGCTTAGGACTATTTCGAGTTAGTAAATTAGTTAGTAAATAATATAATTAATGATACATTAGTACTATCGAATGTAATTAATGGTATGATAGATAGATAGATAGATAGATAGATAATTTATTTGCACAACTTACAGCACACAAACAAAAGACACAAAAGCAATGTGAAAAAAGATACATGTACAAAAGATTAAAAAAAAAATAAAACCAAAAACAAAATCAGAATGCATAATAAAATTTTTCTTCTTCATACGTGTGCCACAGTAATGCAAAATGGCCACAACTCAGCTTTTTGCTTTGCCCTAAAAAGAGCAAAACACTGATATTCTGTTGTGGCCAAAAGCGAGCCGCGTATGAGTGTGTGTTGAATTAAGTGATTGGGACTAGAGATGTGCCAAGTTGTATTGATTCGAGTATTGATTCGATTATTTAATAGGTAGTCAGATGCTCTAGTACTCAATATACAGATAGTTTTTTTTTATACAACTTAGAATGGCAAATAAGCTGACGGCCCACCTGATGGAAAGTGGTAACTGTCGCCTATAGACATGAGCAGCACTATGGACATAACAGAGTATACTGTTTCGCCTATGACACCCCCCATGCGTTGCCATTCCTGTGGACTCAGGTGTTATTCCTCTATACCCAGTAAATTCACGCCATATCCCACCCTTCAAACCGAAACATAGACATGCAAACACAACTGCTTCACGGTTGAAACACGAATGGGACAGAGGTACCCAAGCAATAGACTTTTGTACAAAGTCTCCTATGTACGTACTAATATCATGACAATAGAATATAGATTTCGAGTGATTACGTTATTCGCATACTAGTCGATTGCTTATCTTAAATTTTTGTTTTTTTTTTAGTTTCATTATTTTTGTCTCATTATAACTAAAGGAAAAGTAATTGAAGAACTAAATATTTATTACTTGCATTAAAAGTTAATTTCAGAAATCAATTTAAAATAATACTTAAGTTTGATGGAGTACCTGATTATCCATAAAAGTACTCGAGTTTTAGTTCAGTCTTCAAATTCGAGTCGAGATTCGATACTATTTTTTAACGAGTATCGAAATATACGAATACTAGTCACATCTCTAGTTAGTCTATTGCGTAGTAATTAATAATGTTATACTACTTCAGTCAGATGTTTTATTATCTATGATGATACGAAATACCAGATCTTTTTTCTTAATTAATCTTAGTTGTCCTCTATAGCTTGTCCTGTTTATCGATTGATAATATTGCTTCTACTAAGATTACACTGTTGATTTTTTTTTGATAGGTGAAAATGGAATGGTAACCCCACCTACGCTAACGGTATACGCTGGCGGGGCACCAGTGAAGGGTGATCGATGAAAATTAAAACAGGTCAGTTAGCCCATCATGATGAATTCATCAGGAATTAACCCTGATAGTTTCCAGGGGGAACCGCATGGACGTTGATCTGGTTAGGTATATTGCTAGCAATGAGATTCTCAGCCTCCATTACAAACAATCACTTTCCCCCCTGTCGCTATTGGTTACCAAGAGTTTTTGGGCCACCTTTATCATACAAGAACGCCTCTGACATTGACATGGCTCATTGGATGATGGTATACTGTACGCAAAGCAAGTGATTTTTATTTTTATCATCGTCATTTTAGCCGAGGTCACTGTCCACTGTTGAACATAGATTTTCTCCATAGACTGCCATAAGGAAAGATCTCGAGACACCTGCATTCACTGACTCCTATATTATATACTATAATGTTTTGAAGTCGTCATTCCATTTAGTAAAGGGTAATTCTATACAGCGTTTGCTTTTACGGGTTTTTTTTGATGGGTGAAAATGCCCACCCGCGCTATCGGTATACACCGGCGGGGCACCAGTGAAGGATGATAGGTGAAGATGAAGCAGATCAGTTAGCCCATTGTGACGAATTCAACAAGAATTGTTCACGATGGTATCCAGGGGGAGCCACGTGTAGGTCGACCTAATAGGGTATATTGCTAGAAATGGGGCTGTCAAACTCACATTGCTAACAATTCCTTTCCCCCTTGCCTCTACGGGGTCGCCACTTAAGAACCTTTCTACCCTACCGGTTGTTGTTATCTCGAGGTATGTGACCAGTTTGTTGTCACTACAGGCTTCAGTCTATGTTGGTCACTTTGACTCTATTATTTTTAAATAATCCTAATATAATTTTAAAATTCAGAGATTTAGGCTGGGATTCGAATTTCGAACTCTCGGATCGTATCAAGCGTTATCTGATCTTTTTTGCTTTTAAATTACTCTTATAAAAGCAAAGGTATATTCATGTTTATCATGAAATAAATCTTTATAATTTTATAGCTATATTATTTAAACTTGAACAAAAACTAACTTTTTTTAACAAAGCAAGCCTTTATTTCTCTGTCTATAACTGCAATATTGCAAAATTCATAGTTGTCCAACGAACCGATATCAACAAGTTTTTTTTTTTAATTTCAGCCGGTTTTAATTTGAACGGGCCCATGTAAGTTTAATAAAAACTTGTTTCTCTGATACAAAAGGGGAAATTGGCTGACAGATCATATCAAAAGCTGTTGGGTCTAAAAATATAATATATATTATAATATAAATTTCGCACAGCGATTCTTTATAGCTATAATGTATTAAGAAGAGATTTCCGGAAATTCCATAGGGACGTGAGATAACAGGTTTTGTTCCTGCCTAGCTACGAAGAATAGTTCGTTGAAATATTAATATGATTTGATGGTATTCTATAAGTAATGCCTGTAAGATTAATCCATGTTATTACCACAGTATATTTATTTATTTATTTATTTATTAGAAAGCTTAGAGCAGTGTTTCCCAACCTTTTTTTTTGCCATGCCCCACTTGAGCATTTTTAAAATTTTTATACCCCCCATACATATTTTTTCTCGACAAAGTTTACTTGACGACTCTAATCGTCCAGTTGATATTTTGGTAACGTTAAACAAAATTATACCTAATAAATATTTACAGCATTTTTTTAAATTTACTTTTTTTGTTAAATTTGGCACTGATATCTGCTCGTTGCATGCATTGCATTTAAATGGCTCGGAGCAATAGGGTTAAAATCGCTTCGGGTCCATTTTTTAATTGCCCCCCCTTAAATATAAAATTGCCCCTCTGTGGGACGTGGGCCCCACGTTGGGAAACACCGGCTTAGAGTCTAATAATCTTACCCCTTTATTTATAAAAACTGAAACCTTTTTTTGAAAAATTTCCAGTGGAAACCGTATCCAATTTGGTGCAATAGTTTATGCGTAACAACGGAACAGACATACAGACAGACAAAATTTCTAAAATGAAAATATACTCATATTGTTTTTTCTTAAATACGAGTATCTCCCATGTACAGACATCGTCCGGTTAGTATTTTTTTTTGGTATTTATTTTATATTATATATTTTTTTATACCACAAAAGTGGCTAACAAGCATACAGCCCGTCTGATGGTAAACGGTCACTATAGTCTATGTACACTTGCAACACTAGAAATGTTACGTGGGATTCCCAGCCTCCATTACTAACAATCCCTTTCCCCCCTGGAAACATATAGTAATATACGTTTATAATAGTTTATAGATCATTAAACTGATAACAGTCTGATACGCATATGTGGTTTTGTAATTCCACTATTACAAATTATACTGTAATACATAATTTATACTAATCATCACTACATAGTATAAAAAAAAGTTGCTGTCGCTGTTCGTCCCTATGTATGCTTAAATCTTTAAAACTACGCAACGGGTTTTGAAGCAGTTTCTTTTAGTAGATAGAGTGATTCAAGAGCAAGGTTTATATGTATAATACATGCATAATATTGTAGAGAAACACTGAAAATTTTAGAGGTTTCTAATGTGATGCGATGTAATGTGCAACCCATGCGAAGCAGGGGCGCGTCGCTAGTATATGTATTTTTTTATACAATTTAGAAGAGCAAACAAGCTGACGGCCCACCTGATGGAAAGTGGTAACCGTCGTCTATAGACGTGAGCAGTACCATGGACATAACAGAGTATACTTTTTCGCCAATGATACCCCCCATGCGTTGCCATTCCTGAGGACTCAGATGTTATTCCTCTGTATCCTGTGAATTCACGCCATATCTCACCCTTCAAACCGAAACACAGCCATGCACACAACTGCTTCACAGTAGAAACACAAATGGGACAGAGGTGTCCAAGTAAACGACTTTTGTACAAAGTTTCCCTCTGGTAATATGTATAAAGCTGAAGAGTTTGTTTGTTTGAACGCGCTAATCTCCGGAACTACTGGTTGGATTTGAATAATTCTTTTTGTGTTGCATAGTACATTTATCGAGGAAGGTTTTAGCCTATATAACATCACGCTGCAACCGAAAGGAGCGAAGCATCGGTGAAAAATGTTGCAAAAACGGGGAAAATTATTCATATTTGAGGGCTTCCACTGCGTGCGCTGCGTAAACGGTTCATGTTACTCAAAAAATATGTATGAAAGAATTATTCCTCTTTAAATAATATAAAAAAATGTCCGCGACAGTCTATATGTCTTTTAAGATTGACTAATAACGGAAATTGACGCGGACGTAGTCGCGGGCAACAGCTAGTTTAACTCTATAATGTCGAGGATGTACCAGCATATCTAAATGATCATCCAATTCACTCAATGACGGTCATTATGAAATTGTTTTTTAGTATAATTATTAAGTACTAGCGGCCCGTCCCGGCTTCGCACGGGTGGACATTTTTAAATAATAATAACTTTATAGATTGGTGCCCTTGAAATTTTATTAAAATCGATTTAGTTTTTAAATCAAAGTCACAGATGATGTCACAATTGACGTCGGTTTTTTATGGAAAAAAATCTTAATTATTTTCGAACTTAACTGTCCATTGCTGAACATTGTCCTCCCTCTATAAGGGGGGGTTCTACTAGTAGTTGCAAATTTAGCATGTGGGTTGGCAACCAGCGGCGGGGCACCAGTGAAGGATGATAAGTGAGGATGAAGCAGGTCAGTTAGCTTATCGTGACAAAGTCGACAAGAATTGTTCACGATGATTTCCAGGGGGAACCACGTGGAGGTCGACCTAATAGGACATATTGCTAGCAATGGGGCTATCAAACTTCATTGCTAACAATCCCCTCCCCCTACTCTAGGGGTAGGCACCTCCCATCCGACCCTTCTTTAAATACGCATACGTCTGTAAGCGACCATTTTCCATCAGGTTGGTCGAGTTCACATCTCATTATAAGTTGGTAAAAAAATAATGATATAAGAAACATTACCTATAAGCAGTGTGCCAATTAATCTCAACGCAGCTATGCCCCATCTGTGATTTTTAGCCGGTACTTTTTCTTGTATCCGTCTCCATATCACATCCACCGGGACGTAGTAGATGAGGGCGAATGATAGAATCATCACGCAAGCCACAAGTATCTTTGCGGTCTGAGCGAGGCTGTAAATAAATGAATTATATTTTATTATTATATAATTATTTTATTACGCCGTGTGGTCCCGATATAGAATAGGCCACCCCTTCCTTTCCTGTGAGTGTCGTAAGAGGCGATTAAGGGAAGGTGAGAGATAGGCAGCAGCGTCCCTGTAAAAAAACATCTGTAAAAGCCTAACTGCGGTTGCCAACCCGCTTGCTAAGCGTGGCAACTACTAGCAAAATTCCCCTTATGGGGAAGGCTTGTGTCCAGCAGTGGACAGTTAATGGCTGAAATAAAAAAAAAATTGAAAACAAAACAATAACCATAACCGTGAAGCAGTTGTGTTAATATTTATTTTTATTTTATATGGCGTGAATTTACTGGGTACAGAGGAATAACACCTGAGTCCTCAGGAATGGCAACGCATGGGGGGTAACATGGGCGAAACAGTATACTCTGTTACGTCCACGGTACTGCTCATGTGTATAGGCGACGGTTACCACTTTCCATCAGGTGGACCGTCAGCTTGTTTGCCATTCTAAGTTGTATAAAAAAAAATTGGCAACACCTATATTCAGCAACGGACAGATAATATATGATGATAGGATGATGATGTCTAAATTGTACTTAAATAAAATAAAATTATACTAATGAAATAAATGTAAACAATGGGTATATATCTGGAATAAAAAAAAATATTTATAGATTAATATTATTATTTATATATTTAGATCCAAGTTTTAAATTAAAAAGAAAAATATTATTCGCTTTATGTTTTTTAAAAAATATATTATTCGAAATTCAAATAATTGTGATAAGTTACAAGTGTAAAACTTTAAGTGCGTCCAATGTAAAAGTATATTGAGGCTAATCTAGTGTGATACTTACATTTCATCCTGAGGCAAGTTTAAAGTCAAGCTGCCCCTGGCTTCATCGCCGTACTTCAGGTAGCCGGAGAAACCAACAAATCCATACATTAACACCACAATAACCATAGCGATATTCAAGACACCGGGACAGCCGAGGAAGTGTTGAGGTTTTGTCATCTCATTCTCTACCGGCATCACGACGCCGATGCCTTCCATTGCGAACAGACATGTGCTGTTGGGAATTTTTTGATATTGTTAATTTTGTAAAGAAAATTAATAGATATTAATGATTTGGTTCAATATGAACTTAGTTTAAGGCGCTTCATCCCGTCGAAGGTAATTCTTAAAACAGTATTCCCAGATGGAAACATTATACTATATTAAAATTCGATTTTTAAACTATAATCTGTGAGTGTGTAATTAATTTAATTGAATTGCAAATTATACAAATATAATAAAGAAAAAGGGTTTTTAATTTTCTAAAAATCTACATTTTGCCAAAATTGAATGACATATTTACGAGATACTTACACGAAATTACAGCTGATACATTTTTATTCAAATTGGGTCAAAATTTTGGTGCGAAAAACTAAATTTATATTAATTACATATAGAAGAGTTTAAAACTGTCCGCTGCAGTCTGCCGCTAGTATTCGAGTAGTGAACCCTTATCGTAAAACGTCAGAAATTGTTTAACGAAAGAAGTCTGCATAGTTGAATACTATTAGGTCAAGTACGAATGAAGCGCCTTAACCATATTGAATACACTATTTGTTGTTGTGAATTTTTAAAGGCGACTATATTTAGAATATTCCCACACACTTTGTCCCACCGTTTTTATTATTTAATAATTGTTTTTAAATTAAAAATAAAAGTTTAAAAATCTATTTTGGTAATTGTTAGCTTAATGTTAAGAGACTAGAGTTATTTATGATTTTGTATCATTTACAATGTATAAATATTATAATACATTTATATTAAGTTATATATATGCGGGTTCTTTTATTTACGCTGTTATTTATTAAACAGGATAAAATATTAGTTATTTTATTGTTTATTTTGTCAATAATTAATTAATTCGCGTTAAAACGTAGATCGAGAAATAACAAATTATTTTGAGCCTACTAACACTAACACAGCGTATATAGATTTCAAATTAATATAGTTGTATTGTTGTTATTTTTAAAAGAAAAACATTTAGTGCTCCAAGGAATATATCTCTTTAAATAAATACTAATTATAATGAACAGAAAATTAGTGCTTTGTCCTGTTGAGGGCGAAGCAATAAACTGAATTGTTGGCCACAATTCAGATTGTTGCTTCTCGCCCAATTATTTTTATATACGATGCCAGTCTGTATTAATTTTCTTAGGTATTTTTTTTTGTGAATGTTTTTATTTCTGTACTGTAGGTAGACACAAATAAAGTTATTATCTGTCTATCTATTTCCATTTTACTACGTAAATACATACGAGTAGCAAATTATAGTCGAGTTTTAGTCGTCACTGATAAGCTATATTTTTCACTAACAGAATGTTAAAAATCCTGTATAAATATTATTTTTATATTTTATTAACATTTAGCGATAAGGCCGCCCATTGTTGCCTCTTTATCTCGCTTTTATGTAATTAAGATTATGTAATTAAGTATTCGTTTTGTTTGTGTACATATTGTTAATCTTTATAATCTTTAACCTTTTTGTCAGATAATTGTCAAATTAGCTGACGCGTTTCTTTTGTCAGTATTCTATATTTAAGCATGAAATGTATCCTGACGTATTATTTAATAAATAAGTGTTAATGTATTAGAAAGATGTATAATTTATAAGACAAACAAATTTTTTTTATACAACTTAGAATAGCAAACAAGCTGACGGCCCACCTGATGGAAAGTGGTAACCGTCGCCTATAGATATGAGTAGCACCATGGACATAACAGAGTATACTGTTTCGCCTATGATATCTCCTATGCGTTGCCATTCCTAAGGACTCCGTTATTATTCCTCTGTACCCTGTAAATTCACGCCATATCCCACGCTTCAAACCGAAACACAGCCATGCAAACACAACTGTACTTTACGGTTGAAACACGAATGGGACAGAGGTACCCAAGCAAACGACTTATGTATAAAGTCTCCCTCTGGAGATATATAGAAGTTATAAGGAAATCACTCGTAACTATTTATCACGCAAAATTGTATGAAAATGTTGACCCGTTTTTCTCGAAGCATCTCTATGGAGACTATCTATATAATCTAAGTCTGTAACATTTTTTTAAGGGAACAATAAAGAGTTTTGATTAACTCATTCATAAATAAGTCCCGAGTGCTATTTAGTGAAGTTACTACTAACCTTATAAAATTAGGTACTCCTGTGATAGATGTAGCTAGATTCCTTTCAGATACTTTCGGTGGATCTCTCAAGCAATAGTATATAGATATAAGTATGGAACCCAACCATACGAAGTTGGCTAACGCCGAGAAGGGGACCAAGTACTTCAGTTTGGTGATTTGTGTCAACGGAACCAGTATAACTAACGTTAAAGCACAGTATATTGTTACAGTCCAGTTCGGTCCTCCGTATACATCAGATATCTGAAAATAAAAAAGAAATTCTCTTTACATGATCAATTAATCAGATCTTCTATTGAGCCGCCAGTTGGTAAGGCGGGCGAGGTAGGAGCCTCGAGGCGTACCCTATTGCCTCACCTTCAATTCGGAGGCTACCACCTCCGGCTCACTTGATTTTAAGCCGACATACACGGATGGTCTGTGTATGTCGGCGTGGCATTTTCTTCTCTCTTCTTTCTTCGGGCTTTTTTTCAGGAGGCTGTCTTGGCGGTTCCTCGCTTTCACTTTTGTATTCATATATAGTATTGTTTTCTTTACATGACTATTAAAAACAGTATGTGTAGAGCACCAGAGGGCGCTACCTTCACGATTGCAATAACGAGGTTTATGTCAGTACAACTTGTTTTCTGCGGCTTTGTTAGTGTATATACATAAAGTATCCTGTGTATTAAGTTAGGATGTAAACCACACAGCTGGTTTACATCCTAACTTAAATTTTTATCTATTACATTAACAGTTTAATTGTGATTAAACAACAAATATTTTTATAAAGTTTCACTTTTTAATATCTATAGTGACAGTTGTTTCCGCGTCCGCGGTAGAGAAATGTGGCTTGGCTGTGTGGTGTGGTTGTGGTAAAATGTAACAACTTCAGCCTTTAAAAACATATAAATACACATATGATGATGTTTTAGACAAACTAAACCGAAAATATTTGAAATTTGAATCCACAGTGTCTTTTTATAGATACAAGACAATCTTATTATTTTACTAGCTATATTTCACGGCTCTACTCGCGTGGATCAGTACATAAATTATCCTATGTACTGAGTTTGGATATAACCTACTCGTGTATAAAATTTTATTAAAATCCATTCATCATTCATCCATTTATCGTTATAAACTTTTCGCATTTATTATATTATATTAATAGGATTGCAATAAACTTGTCTGTAAGAGGTTGTCATAGCAACGAGACCGCCTTTTGTACCTTTATGTGTATATTTTAATCTGTATTTTACGCTACTATATTTCACTTGAATTATTCAATTGTCACTGTATATTTTTATGTTTTTGGTTAAATATAGAGTTAAAAAATAACAATAATCATCTTGCTGCGTAAACAAAAATGGTATATTAAAAAAATAATACATTGAATGTTACATGAATAATATATGTTACATGCGTAATATTGCAGCAAAAAAAAAAAAAAATTAGACAAATTATTTTAAAAATTCAAAATTCGTACCTGTTTGAAGGACTCAGCTATTACGACCACATATACGCAACAGGCTCCCATGTGAGTCAACGCTAACGCCCAGTCTGCTAGTTCTCTGCAATAATACATATAATAGTTTTCCATTTAGGTTGCATAGAAAATAATGATAATTACCGTATGGTCCCAGCATAGAATGGGCCACCCCTTTTATTTCCCGTGAGTATCTTAAGAAAAGATTAAGGGAACTTAATGGCCGAGGCTAGCAGCGCCCCTCTTAAACCATTTCCAAAGTCTTACTTTATCAAATTTACGGTTGTCAACCCACCTGCCAAGCATGGCAACTACTAGCAAAACTCCCCTTAAGTGGACAGTTAACGGCTGATAAAATAAAAAAAAGTACGCAGTATAATATTTTCTAATTGATCCTTGCGATTATTTGAGTGCGATTAAAAACACTTGAAGTGAATATTAGAATTTAACGTTGTAATTAATTAATTCACAAATTTACAAATAAAATTCCAATTATTTGTATAAAATAATTAAGATTGTATACCACAAAAAAAAACTACTTTAGTTGTGATAAAATCACTTAATTTGATTTAAAAACTAAACTACTCGACCGATTTTGATAAAATTTCTATGGGACCAATCTGTAACTTTATGCTATTATACACACATGCATACAACATCCCGCCAACACAGTTATTCCGTTACATAGCAATCCCACATATATTTACTTTTACTGCCAAATAGTTATCATTTTTTTACCCAAAATTTGTCTGGAAGAGATTGCTTTAGCGATAAGATCGCCTTTTGTACTTCATAAGTGTATACATATATTCATTTGTAATATTTTTTAAGTGGTGCAATAAAGAGTAAATAAATAAAAAAAATTAATAGCAATTGCGTCCATATTGTTAGCAAACACAAGAGAATATAAATTGTTAACGGTTTCTTTACTGCAACATTGACTCGAGCTTGTCTCCAACAGAATTCTATTATAATATAAAAATATATTTCGACAATAAATAACAGAATGTCTGTTACTTCGAAATGGCCGTTCATATGAATCCTTGCATCATAACAGCCTTCACAGAAGATTCATGCATAAATGTATTTATCGTAAATAAATTTTAGTATATAACGAAACAAGTTTGGTTTTTTTATGCAACTTAGAATAGCAAAAAAGCTGGCGGCCCACTTTATGGAAAGTGGTAACCGTCGCCTATAGACATGTCCATGGCATAACAGAGTATACTGTTTCGCCCATGATACCCCCCCATGCGTTGCCATTTCTGAGGACTCAGGTGTTATTCCTCTGTACCCAGTAAATTCACGCCATATCCCACCCTTCGAACCGAAACACAGCCATGCAAACACAACTGCTTCACGGTTGAAACACGAATGGGACAGAGGTATCCAAGCAATCGACTTTTGTACAAAGTCTCCCTCTGGATCCCAAATCATAAGATTAAGATGACAGTTAATTTAGTATTATTTTATAGGACACTGCATATTTCGCATGGTATGATTACATATAACAGATAATATAATATTTTTACGCACTACCTTGCGAATGGGGCAAATTTCTGTACAGGTTTCGGTCCATTTTGAAAGACGAGGTCGCACGTGTCTGCGTATCCCAATGATGGTTTCTTGACCTCCACGCACAGCTGTTGTGATGTTTTCACCTGAAAATTAATTGCATTTTCATGATTATCATTAATCTCTTCTCGAGTACTTAATGCTGTTTATACCGTAACCGACTTTGACTAATGACGGTTTTTGGAGGTTTATAATTTATGATCTCCTTTTACTTATTACACCTTGCCGGTCTAGCGGTTTAACACACTGCCTCACCTTTCGATGGTCGCGGGTTCGAATCTCTCGCAATAGCAACAAAATATGTTATAGAAAATTCTTTCAACGCTAGTATTTAATATAAGTGTTTGTATATTTTTGTGTCATAGTTCAAGGTTTTTTAAGTGATTTTATAACAAGGTTTACAGAACACCAGCATTTTATGTATACGGTACAAGATTTCTTTGCTATATCCGAATCGATTTAGATTTCTCAATAGATTGAATTTTGTTCATAGAAAATCTTTAATTACTGATAGATTTTTTAAAATTGTTTTTCAGCAAATCTGTCACTGTTAGTTGTAATTTAGCAACAGCTATTTGCAATTTTAATTTACATAAGTACATTATATTATATCACCAGAGGGAGACTTTGTACAAAAGTCGATTGCTTGGGTACCTCTGTCCCATTCGTGTTTCAACCGTGAAGCAGTTGTGTTTGCATGGCTGTGTTTCGGTTTAAAGGGTGGGATATGGCGTGAATTTACTGGGTACAGAGGAATAACACCTGAGTTTTCAGGAATGGCAACGCATGGGGGGTATCATGGGCGAAACAGTATACTTTGTTATGTCCATGGTACTGCTCATGTTTATAGGCGACGGTTACCACTTTCCATCAGGTGGGCCGTCAGCTTGTTGGCCATTCTAAGTTGTATAAAAAAAAAACATAGTGGGAGACTTAAATTATGGAAATTATTAACTCATGAATAATGGTGGGCAGATATGTTTACTTTCAGAATTTACTGCTATTGAACTATAAGAATGATTTTAATGATTATTTTGCGATGCTCTGGTATGGTAATAAAGACAGAGTGTATGAAAAGGTATATTTTTTATTTAAATTTAAATGTGAAATGTGAAAACGATTCATGGCTTAACATAGATATAAATTTGATTATGTATTGACTGTAATTCAGCTGTATGTTTTCCAAAAAATAAATAAATAATGAATTTTATATTAAAATTGAATAAAGGAATTAGAAACAAATAGAAATTGATGTATTGAAAATGTATAAGGGTACTTACCAACATGTTTATGGCGTGCGCGCAAATAAACCCGACAAGTATGGTACCAATGCTGCCAACCAACAGTCCGGCGCTCTTGAAGGCGAGCGGCATTGCCAACACTCCAGAACCGAGCGATGCTTTCAGTAAATGTGCCAACGCACCGAAACTCCTGGAAACAATATTACGATTTGTCATTAATCCACTTTTATACTTACTTTTTAACCGATTTAAAAAAAAGTAGGTTCTCAATTCGTTTTTTTTATGTTGTTTTTATGTTCATAACTCCGTCAGTTGTAAGCACATTTGGGAAATTATTTCTCTATATGAAAGGATATATTTATAGTTTGGTTCTATAGAAATTTTATTAAAAGTGGTTTAGTAGTTTAGTTTTTAAACGAAATTATTTTGGGTTTGCCACAAAAGTTGTTTTTTTTCTGTGGAAAAAGTAAAAAGTTGCCTAATGTAATGACATAGACTAGTTTTTGTCCCGGTCAGTCAACATATTCCAGTCACACGGAGATAGTCGTGGGTAAAAGCTATTTTTTGAATAGGTGTGAATAGCACCTAAAATAATATTTTCGCCTATTCAGAATTAATAATTCCTTATTGAGTTTGTTAATATTTTGTTTTGATGCAAATTTTTTTTTATTATTCAAGAAGCACTCGGTTTTTTCTGAGGACTAAAGTATAAATACTTGGAGTCAGAAACACAAGTTGGATAAAGGCTCTTAAGCGGGAAACTTTAAAGTTTTAATGTGTCCGATTACTTACGATGTATTTGATGCCAATGGTCTGTGCTCTGACGGAATATAAGGGTCTAAGTCCTCCCTTGAACCGTTGCACGCTAGTTCGACCCTGAAAATAAATAACATTTACAATTTAATATAAACGTTTTCGACGAAGCATGTTTATAAGCGCGCGGTTATAAAACGGAATTCCAAGATGTCGCCTACCTGAAATGGTGTAGTTAAGATATGCCATATCTATGCTTATTTGTTTCTTTGTTATTTCCCCTGTAACTTTTGGGTTGTTTACTATTTATCGTCTGATGTATTATTCCTATAAATTTCTTTAACCATCCCAAACACTACGCTCAGCTCAATCAATTAAATTCTTCTCTTTTTATTATTATTTCAGCCGTTGACTGTCCACTGCTGGATATAAGCTTTCCCCATAAGGGGAGTTTTGCCAGTAGTTGCCACGATAGACAGGCGGGTTGGCAACTAAAGCCAGGCTTTTAGAGATGTTTTAAGAAGGACTCTGTTGCCCATCCTTCGCCCTTAGTCGCCTTTTACAACACCCATGGGACATATTATTCTTTTATTCCAACTAAAATGTATTTATGGATCATTCGAAAACAAAAATTCCAGGAGTATGCATTTAAGTGCACCTGTAGCATAAAAATTTTTTTTTTATTTTTTTATAGTAATAATAAATGTATTAAAAGAACGTATAAGATGTATGATTACGTACGAATTTTAGGAAACCATTTCTTAGCTGATACTAAGAAATGTCTTCCTGATCTTCCCACGAGAATGGAAGATAAAGGGTTCCCCGAAATCAAAGTCGGGCAAACAGTTAGCGGTAATAATATTAATTGAAATACCTTATTTTTCCCAATATAATGAGACGCCGTGGCACTATTGGGAATGATGGCATAGAATGCATTGTCTCTACGCTTCTATGGTATACTATTTTACTTATAACGCTTGCTTTATGGTTTATAAGAGACGGGAATTAACGCGATTATTTAGGTGTTCATTTATTTAATTAAACTGTATCGACTAATGAAATGCGGTACAAAAGGCGAACTTGATGCTATAGGCATTCTTTACCAGCCAACCTTTAGGATGTGCATAGATCCTCGACGGCGGTTGAAAAAACATTAAAATAAAATTATTTATATTTTATATGATAATTGCATACATACAAAGATTCATAAAATAAACATATTTATATAGTATTTATATACTAATATCTATTTATAAAAATATACGTATATGTATATACATGTATATATATATATATATATATATATATATACGATAAACTACTGCCTACTTGATTGCTTGTTTCAATGTTAGACCTGGGTTATCTCAAATTATTAACACAGATAAATTATCACAATTCACCTAAACGATAGCGTTAAATCCCGTCACTTACAAACCATAAACCGTGCAACGCGAAATTCAAAAATTTTATACTCTTGCTTTAGCAATCGCGTGACATGAAATAAATTACATCTTTAGTAAGTTTCGTTGATAAATAGCGTAGTTTCGTGTTCAGAGGTTACATTATTTGTCCCGTGGCATCTTACAGTTGTCAACTTAACCCCAATTCATGGGGAACATTGCTTGGTATGATGTAACGTCTGTTTTTCATTGCATCATATTGTTAAGATGCAAATATGTCAAGTATTGTATTGATTTATTAAATAACGCGCAAAAAACATTGTAGCTCGTGATTTAGATTGATCAGTTTCAATGGAATGTCATTAACGATTTCAACGAAATCTCTACAAATGGATCTTTCGAGTGAAAATATAATTATTTTTTATTGAATTAGGTGTTATCTTGCGGGATTTAATATCATTGGTTATTTATTAGAATTATTTATGTAAGACAAAAACTTTGTACTCATTTTTACAAAAATTACAGACAGAGTAGATTGAAGTTTGGCATACTTATAGTTTATATAGAGAAGGACTGTTGAAATGCTAATATTTTTTTATTAAGTATAAAAATACATTAAATCATAAAAAAAAATGCTTATATAAAAGTAATCAAATTATAAATATAATTGTGAGAGACCGGTGCCTGTGATAGGTATAAGAATACCTGTATTACAGGTCACCAGGGCCTCACTCCGCAGGATTACTTACTAATACTTAAGTACTTATTAATAATTAAGTACTTGTAATATAATAAGTGAATTCAATGTAATAAATATTATTTATAGGAAGAGATAATTAATTATAATTTAATCTGGAAGTTGTGTGTGTGTGCGTGCATGTGTGTGCGCGCGCACTACCATGTATTTAACACACACACACACACGCATATGTACTCTTTTATCGTTAAAGTCTGTGGTCAAATTGACAATAGCTTAATATTGATTGTCTTCAATATTATTTGTCTTTAGTCTTACCGAGTGTCAAACATAACCATAATTAATTCATTTATTACAATATATAATGGCGTGAATCTACAGGGTACAGAGGAATAACACCTGAGTCCTCAGGAATGGCAACGCATGGGGGGTATCATGGGCGAAACAGTATACTCTGTTATGTCCATGGTACTGCTCATGTTTATAGGCGACGGTTACCACTTTCCATCAGGTAGACGATCAGCTTGTTTGCCATTCTAAGTTATATAAAAAAATATGTTATGGTCGAATTTCGACCACGGGGTGACCACTCGTTTCGTTTAATTCCGCTACCAATAATATGTGTGCGACTGCAAACACTCGAAGATTGACTACTATTTTTATTATCAAAAGTTTTACAACCTTTTATACTAGCCATCAGTCATCATCATCGTCTTTTGTCAGAAATTGATGGCTAATAAGTGACATATATACTAATGGAAATGAAATGAAATGAAATAATTCTAAACAAAGGCCCTTCTCTATTCTCTTTATTTAATTATTAAAATTATATTACTATCAGGGCGTAATTAGTCATCGATACTGATGCCAAAAATGCAATCAGTAAAATTTTATATCTGTCTGTCTGTATGTAATATTTTCTGATATATATATATATATATATATATATATATATATATATATATATATATATATATATAAATTACTGACGCTGTAGGGTAATGAACAAGTAAATAGAAAAACAAAAACAATATAGGTTATTTACATATCATGTAAATACATATGTATAATTATATAAAAATAATAAATATGAATACAGTTACATTAAATAGTAATTTATAATCAACATTCATATATATATAATACTCATATTGTTTATTTTGTGTTAACATAATCTATCAAATGTCATAAAATCGTCAAAATACAAACTTAAATTAACGCTAAGTTATAAAATAAATTAGTATTTGCGACTAGACTTAGTCCCTACAAATAGCAGCCGTTCACGAGTATGACGGAGAAGCCCCCACAAATTTTATTGCATGTTCATAGTGGTAGTATATATAGCGTCATGATTTATCTTTACAACATCTTTAAAGCATCTAATCGTGTAAACAATTTAAACAGACTTTGACGCTGAGCTTTGTTATTGCTTATTCACCCTATTTACCTTATCTACACTTACGCTAGTATCTTATAAATTACTAGGAGAGTATAATCACAAAGAAACGTACACAATGTACAGATTTTCTTTTGTGAACGCAAATAGACAAAAGAATGGCTAATCTTATTACATTAATGTTGACACCGCCAGCATGGTTCTGTTATCCTAGTACATTATATACTTCAACAAGGCATAATTTTAGCGAAAATAAAAAAGTTAAAAGGTCAATTCTGTACATGAAATATATTTTCAAAATGACTATCAGGGGGTGATTAGTGATCGATACTGATGCCAAAAAATACAATCAGTAAAATTTTTGTCTATCTGTCGGTATGTTCATTATAGAAACAAAAACTACTCGACGGATTTTAACGAAATTTGGTACAATTATTCTTCATACTCCTGAGCAGATTATAGTATACTTATTATCACGCTACGATCAATAGGAGCAGAGCAGCGAAGGGAAATGTTGGGAAAACGGGAGAAGTTACTCCATTTTTAAGCTTCCGTCGCGTGTGCAGCCTTAATGGCTACTTTTTAAAGTGTAAAAATGTCCACCTGTGCGAAGCCAGGACGGGCCGCTAGTTAATTAATATCTTTATATTTCCTTAATAGTGGATTAAGGAAAAAGAAGAATTACCTTTGAATCCACACGTGGATATAGATTGTAGATTAAGGCTGTATAAACAAGACACGTAGTGTAAACTGTTTATTAATTCAATAACATGTTATAAGCTGAAAACATAATGTATTCCCATTGTATTCATGTTTTTTTTTACATTTTTGTCATGACATGAGCAGTACTATGGACATACCAAAGTATACTATTTCGCCCATGATACCCCCCATGCGTTGCCATTCCTGAGGACTCAGGTGTTATTCCTCTGTACCTTATAAATTCACTGCCATATCCCACCCTTCAAAACGAAACATAGACATGCAAACACACCTGCTTCACGGTAAAAAAACGAATGGGACAGAGGTGTCCAAGTGAACAACTTTTGTCTCTCTCTGGTATAAATGGCGAAGTTATAAGTCAACAAAGATAAACAGAAAAATACAACCGAATTCCTTCTTGTTTTTAAAGTCGGCGAAAAGCAATTTACACGTTTATTTACATACAAACAATGAAGGTTATACGACCGTCTCATGTAAATCTCATTATTCAATTACGTTTCATAAGAATGCGGTTTGTAAATATGTGAATCGTGATAGTAATTTGCTTGTACTAGAAATAGTTTTTTTTATCTACCTATATTAAAGTACAAACCGCAAATATAAATTATTGAGAATAAGCTGTTGTTGATAAAATAACAGAGTTTTAAATAACAAATCTATTTTGTTGTTTACAGTAAAAATGAATACCATGCAAAAACGTAAAATATAAAAATATACCAAGTCTCTCAACGGGGTTCTTTCACTACAAAAAGCTGTAAGATCTCATTTATAATGAATTTATATAGTGTTTATGGAGGTATGTCAGAAACTTTTGTCATAAATTGTTATCTAAACAATTACCTACCAAAATTTTTTTTGATGGGTGAAAATGGTATGGTAACCCCGCCTGCGTTAACGGGATACGTTGACGGAGCACCAGTGAAGTGTAATAGGTGAGAATGAAAACAGGCCAATTAGCCCATCATGATGAATTCATCAGGAATTAACCATGAGACTCGTAGTTTCCAGGGGCATCCGCGAGGCGGTCGACCTGGTTGGGTATATTGCTAGCAATGGGATTCTCAGTCACCTACCAACATTTATAGTAACTATATAAATATTAGACATTTTTATTTATGTAATAATTAAAATAACTTGGCGGGACGGGTACGAAAACTTAATGTTTAAAAGGCACATTGTATGTATTTTATCAAAAATGATTTTTTCCCGGTGACCCTCCTATACTTAGTATACTATTGTATAAACTATGGTGGAGAGTTACTAAGTCTAGAGTGACCACGGTGTCACTTGGGCAAGATAGGTATAAAAATCAGACCAACTTTAAAAGTTACCAAAACTGCCATTTGGATATATTAAAGTATACCTACTATAAAACAATACAATGGCAGACGATTTGGTTGGTGGCAACCTTACTTATACGTGCCACTAGTTTCCATGCTTGGCAGGCGGATTGGCAACCGCGAAGAGGTCCGCTGCTGCCCATCCCTCGCCCTCTCTTAGTCGGCTTTCATGGCACCCACGGGATAGGAAGGGGTGGCCTATTCTATGCCGGGACCACATAGCTACTAAAAACTAGTAATAGATAAAAAAACATGTTTCTACTTACTTGGAACTATAGGCGTCCATACCATCTCGAATCTCGAGAGCTGAAGAATTTTGTTTCGTCATGTTCGAGTGGTTTGGGCACGAGGTGGACAAAATACTCTATGTTCTATTAATTTTATTTATCCAATAACATACATTGCTGCAGTTTGATTGCCTGTAAACAAAAATGAGAAAGAATGTTTTATTTTTATATATTGAAACAACAAACAGCAGCCATATTAGCTGTTAACTATCCACTGCTGAACATAGGTCTCTCCTATGGAGGGCTTTGCCAATAGTTGTAAAACTTGGTAGGCGGATTGGCAACTACAGTAAGGTTTTAGTAATGTTTTAATAGGGACACTGCTGTCCATCCATCGGCTATTATTATTATTATCGGCTATTTCTTTTAACGTAGGGTCATCGACCTGCCAAAAAAAAATTCGACGGGTACCTACTAAAGGTCAACGCATGTATTAATATTTTTGAAATATAAAATGATTGGTTTAATTTTATTAATTAACTAAATAACAATTTACAAAATTCAAAAACAGTTAAATTCACAATACATAATTATTAAGAAACGATATTCATACCTATCGAAAATTTGAAAACAGGTATATTGAAATTGAGGATCTTCCCGTTTTGAAGTCGGTTGAAAATGTAACAACCCAAGGAACGAATGTAGCATGACAACAAATTTCGCGGTAATTTTTTTTTATACAATCTAGAATGGCAAACAAGCTGACGGTTCACCTGATGGAAAGTGGTAACCGTCGCCTACAGACATGAGCAGTACACGGACATAACAGAGTATACTGTTTCGCCCATGATACCCTCCATGCGTTGCCATTCCTGAGGACTCAGGTGTTATTCCTCTGTACCCTGTAAATTACTGTATGTACTGTGTTTTTCAGCAAATAAATACATTATTATTATTATGAAGACTCCTTATACTGTGCTATTAGTAAAAGAAATCAATTTCCCAAAGAAATATGATTTGGAACATGAAAATTGTTTTGAACCATTACATCCTTACTCATATTATTTCTTTAATGTGTTCCTTTTATCCTCAGGATGTAAATGTTGTAAAAGGTAAATAAGCTACCAAGGTATCGCCAAGCCAGGATCGATACATATTTTTTTTATACCACTGAGGTGGCAAACAAGCATACGGCCAACCTGATAGTAAGCGGTTACCGTAGCCTATGAACACCTGCAATACCAGAGGTATTATGCGTGCGTTGCCGACCCTGAAGAAACCTGTTTACCCCCCCTTTGAAGAACCCCATGCTGTAGTCTCTTCTTCATATTTGATAAGGGTGTAACAAAAAATGTTTTCCGAAATTTTAGGGCCGAACGAAACTCAAATTTGATGTCAAAATTACATAATACATACCGTTTAAAATATTAAAAATGTTAAAATATTATACTTTTGGACTTTCATGGTAGGATTTATGACGAACAAAATATTAAGCTCCAATTAATGGACCGATTTTGGAATGAATGAAAATACGAAATTAAATTCGAAAATTTGGAATTTCATTTAATGCTAGACCTCTTGTTCTTTTAAGAAAGACTTTTCCACTGTAGTGAGATAAAATAAAATATTATAAATACAGATATAAACTGCATACATTCAAGAAAAAAAAGACAAGTAAGAGAATTTTTTTCTTAATTGCCGTAAAGGTACTGCTCATGTCTATAGGCGACGGTTACCACTTTCCATCAGGTGGGCCGTCAGCTTGTTTGCCATTTCTAAGTCGTATTAAGAATAAAAAAAAGTAAGTTGAATAATTGAAAGCTGTTTAGTTAAAACAGTAAGTTTATTGTTCAATGTAAAGACGGGTTATTTGATGTCTTGAAAGGATCGTATGGGATCAATATGCTTGATTACAATAATTAAAATCATTTCATCTGTAATTTTTTTTAAAGCATAGTAATATGTCACTACTAATAATGATTTATTATTAATCGTATTATTTTTGCACCATATATGTTATGCTTTATATACAAACCCTATAAGCACGTTGTTCTTTCATGTTCTCGAGATTGACTGAAAGAAGTCCCTTTAAGGGATACGCCCACCTATCTACATTTTTGCTATAACCTAATATTTATACTATAAATGTATATACAAAAGTATGAATAAATAAATTTTTATTAACCTTTTGACGGTAAATATATATTTCTATATTAGAAATGAGCTTTTAGTTGCTAAAAGCTATGGTAATATATTATTTTATATGAATACTTATGTTTGTAAAACCGTTTTAATATTACTAGCGCTGAAATAGGACCTTTCATGTCAACAACGCGTAGGTGCCTCTAAATTAGACGTAACATGAATGAGGTAGATGGAGTACAAGTTTATAACAATTATTTTAACTGCTACGGTAATAGACTTAAGAGTAAAGTAACGCAGTATGGTGAAGTTGCGTTTAACTGACAATTTTTAAAAACACTTGATCGTTTTTTAACGTTCAAATAGATTATTTAAAAAGTGTTCCGCTAGCGAACTATAACGTTAATAATAATTTTGAGTGACAACAAAAATACTATTTCAATAGTATTTCTGTTGTCACTCAAAATATTTAAAGATTTTGATGGTAAAAATGTATTACCAGTTAATACCAGAGGGAGACTGTACAAAAGTCGATTGCTTGGGTACCTCTGACCCATTCGTATTTCTACCGTGAAGCATTTGTTTACATGGCTGTGTTTCGGTTTGGAGGTTGGGATATGGCAGTGAATTTACAGTGTACAGAGGTATTTCTCTGTACTCTGTAAATTCACTGAGTCCTCAGAAATGGCAACGCATGGGGGGTATCATGAGCGAAACAGTATACTCTGTTATATCTATGGTACTGCTCATGTCTATAGGCACTTTCCATCAGGTGGGCCATAAGCTTGTTTGTCATTCAAAGTAGTATAAATAAAATAAAAAAAAAGTTTTTGAAAACTTCCTAAGAGAAATATTGTTGCCAAAGCTAATTTTTTATTTCCTACTTTAATAAATTCACCGCAAACAAAATAGAATGAATCAATGTCTTGTATACACTATTTTGAGGCTATTTTCTAACTTAGTAAGACCCAAAAGTCTGTTGTTACATTTGTGAAAGAGAAGTAAACGCTAAATCTATACTTCTAATAAATCTGTAGAGAGGTCAATTCTGTACATGAAATATATTTCCAAAATAACTATCAGCGGGTGATTAGTGATCGATACTGATGCCAAAAATACAATCAGTAAAATTTTTGTCTGTCTGTCTGTATGTTCGTTATAGAAACAAAAACTACTCGACGGATTCTAACGAAACTTGGTACAATTATTCTTCATACTCCTGCCACTTTTTAAAATGTAAAAATGTCCACCCGTGTGTAGCTGAGACGGGCCGCTAGTAATAAATAAATAAACACCCACAACTGTACTCTCCATAAATAATGCACAATTTGCTATCGATATAATTATCTTGTCATAAATGCTACCATCCATTGGTCATAAAATCAATTAGTCTTCGAAACGTACTTATCGATGTTAGTCAGACTTTGAGAGTTTAAATGCATATTTGAGTGTTTTTTGAAGTTTGGAATCAGAGTTTTTTGCTGACCTATGTAATTAATATTCGTATATAAATATATTATATATTAAAAGTATATTAAGTATTAATATTTTATTTATTTATTTATTTATATGCTTTTTGTTGACGCCGTCAATTTATAATTAATCTACCCTCCTCTTATATTATACACGCCCCGCTCTCAGTATTCTTTTAAAATATTTTTTTTATCACAGTGTCTATATCGTCATGGTCATGATTTACGTGAGTAAAGCCGCGGGATACAGCTAGCAATATTAAAAATGTGAAAATTTGTTTGTTACTTCTTGGTGCTTTGATGGGTTAACCAATTGATATAAAATTTGACGTACACCTATTATTTGGGATGGAGTAGGACATAAGCGAATTATTATGCCGGTTAAAAATTAATCATCATCATCACATCAGCCTTTAACTGTCCACTGCTGAACATAAGCGTTCCTCTTGGGGGTTTTGCCAGTAGTTGCCACGCTTGGCAGGCGGATTGGCAACCACAGTCAAGCTTTAGAGATGTTTTATGAGGAACGCTGCTGCCCATCCCTCGCCCTCTTTTAGTCGTCTTTAACGACACCCACGGGATAGGAAGGGGTGGCCTATTCTATGCCGGGAGCGTATGGCCGTATACACAGTGTCTATATACATATCGGAAATTATTGAATTCACTGTGTTTTTGTGAAGCGAGACGCTGTGATGCAAAGCACCAGACGCTCCCTGAAGAAAACTTCCGGATGTAATCGAAACAACTGTCGGAAACAACAAACATAGTGACGTCATTAATTTCCTGTTATACGAGTACATATAGATATTAAAGAAAAACGAACATACTTACCAGAGGGAGACTTTGTACGAAAGTCGTTTACTATTTTTATCATACTTTATAAATGTATTACCATGGTACTACATTTATAAAGTATGATAAAAACTTTTTTTTTATATAACTTAGAATGGCAAACAAGCTGACGGCCCACCTGATGGAAAGTGGTGACCGTCGCCTATAGACCATGGACATAACAGAGTACACTGTTTCGCCCATAATACCCCCCATGCGTTGCCATTTCTGAGGACTCGGGTGTTATTCCTCTGTACCCTGTAAATTCACGCCATATCCCACCCTTCAAACCGAAACACAGCCATGCAAACACAACTGATTCACGGTAGAAACACGAATGGGACAGAAGTGCCCAAGCAATCGACTTTTGTACAAAGTCTCCCTCTGGTAATAATTATTATTAATGAATCACAAATAGACATATATAAGTAGATATCACATTGCTAATTTATTTATTGAGGAAATTTTGTGTTGCTGTAGCGCACACATATCTACAGTTTTCTTGCTTTATTTTGTCCTTTTTAAATTTTAGTATTTTTATTCGTATAAATGCTAGAAATGCAAATAAATGTTTTTACCTATCTATACTTATTTTATTTGATATTCACTTCTTAGAAATTACCACAAAGGATTTGGTTTGACTTGAAATAGATACACGGAGAAGTGATGAAAGCGTTTGTTAAGGATTGAATTTACTCTATTATTGGATTGAAATATTTCTGCGACGCCATATTTTATTCAATTAGG